CTGTGGGGAATTAATAAAACTTATGAAGATGATGCAGTAGCTATTTTGATAGTAGTAGGAAACTGACCCAAAGAAAATGTCTCAAGAAAGAGTATTGTAGAACGGCTCTGAATACTTGGTCACAACAGGTTCTTCCCAGCTGTACAAGCTCCCAGGAACATTTCTCAGCCTAAGATGAACTTGTATTTATTTAACTTTTTTGTGGTATTTCTTCCTGCTTCTGAATTTATCAATAAAATCCTGGTTTTATTTAAGATAACTTGTGTATGTCTTGGATAAAATAAGCAAACAAAAAGGCCTCTACTCTTTCCTTTGAGGCTGAGAGTAGGACTGAGACAGTTACTGGCCTTGTGGTTGGACAGTTCATGGGAGAAGTTTGGGACTCTCCCAGGCCGTGACCACAGACTTTCCAGAGTTATTATCAGCAAAGGAGAAGGTAACGATAGAAATATAGATTGTGTTATAGATTGTGTTAGTTACCAAGAAAATACATGTCTATAATGTGACTTCAGTCAAAGTTAAACTTGACTTTGCAATTTCAAATGTTCTGGATCACCCTGGGAGCAGGGAAGATATCATCAGCATGCTGTTTTAGTTTCCACAAAAGAACTTCACCTTGCTATAGGTTATGGAATTTCACTCATTAAGAAAAAGGATTTCTGTTAAGATAATGCATATTAAATGTTGAGAGCAAACACATTCAGTCTGAACTATACCTTTTTCAAAGCTAGTAATATTTCAGTGCCAGAACCAACTGGATTTTTACTCAAAATACTTGACTCGAGGCATGTCACTGTTGGGCAGAAAATGAAGAGTTGGTTTCATGGCCAGCAGAGCCCAGCAAAGCCAGGCTTGCTTTATTTAAATAGTATATGTGAAATATCCACAAATCTTTTTTTTTTTTTATTTCATGGGTAGGTATTATTATTTTTAGTCTTAAAAGGGCCAAGGGTTTAACACAAATCTGAATAATTGAACATCCTGTAAAATACAAATTATGATCGGATTTTCACAGCCATCACAGCTGCACAGAATTCTGTCAGCTTCTCCTGCAGAGGAGAACACTCCTGTGATTTCAGTTTCATGTTACTTTAAGGGACATAAGTTACTTTGATTACCATCCCATTTGTAACAAGAATGTTGTGTTTTAAACAGGAAAGCATTTCTTATCTTTGGGAGTCAGAAGTTCCCTGATTCAAGAGTGATATTCACAAAATCTGTGCACTGCCCATCTGTTGTAGTAAGATGGAAAACCAGCAGCATTAGTCTAGCTACAGTTACCTTCTAGCAGTACTTTATTGTTACACTCATGAGAAGCAGTTAGCCCTGTTGTACCGAATTGTGGGTAGGCAGGAGTAGCAGGGTAATCTCACTGCCCCAAAGAATTTCCTGTCTACTTGGAGAAGGCTATTGGAAAGGAGGATGTAGTGGACAGAGTTAACAGTGTGTGATAGAATATATGATACTGTTTAAATGATTTTTGTTGGGTTGGTTGGTTAGGAAGTGCTGAGTCAACTGGGATAAGACTTTCAAGGAAAGAAGACAAAGTTAAGTGCTGGAGAGAAAACCATGCAAGAGTGTTATTGCAGAGTCCAGTTGAGGAATGAGCAGTGGGAAAGAGATTGAGAACAAGCAGCTGAGGAGCATGGGGTTGAGGAAGCCCTGCCACAGACTGGATACTCTGTGCTTTTTGCTTTGGAAGGTTCTGTAGCTTCTCCTGCTGTCTGGGGAGTTCTGGTTTATTCTTCCCCAGCTGATTTTCTTTAGGCAGTATGTCTGGGAAGGAAGGAAAAAGCTGCACCTAAATTCTTGCAATTTAAAATTATGTTCTCCCTTAAATATGTTGTGATACAGGACAGTCCAGGAAAGTGAAATTGTCCTTGTTGAGACCTTTTTAGGGTTTTTGGTCTCTCTTTGTTTGCAACAGGCCCTGTACCTTGCTGTAGTTCTGCCTCACTTGTGCTTGTAATACCACAGTTTATATCAGTCCCTGTTTTTGGAGCTTGTTTTCACCCACTGATTTTTTTAAAAAGTACTCAAAGCTACAAAAGCCCTGGAAATGTTGAATTCTGTTTCTTTTTCTAAAATGGAATTCAAAGTTATTTATTTTACTACCCTATCTCTGGATATATTTTTGACCCTCTGCTTTTTTATGTTGCTTTGTGAATGACCCCCTAAGAGAAAAAAACTAACCAGATGGAAAATTAATGAAACAAGCAAGCTTGAAATTGCCATCAAAGTACAAAGAATAAATTAGCTAAGGCCAGACGTTTTTCTTCAATACATCTTATGTTCTTCCTAAGTATTCATGCTGACATCATTATCCAAAATGCATTATGTTCATATGCTGCTGAAGAATGACAAATAGCTCAAATTATTAAATTGCATTTGATTTGACTGCTAAAGTTTATTGGGGTACAGTATAGGAAATCAGCCTGTCTGTCAGCTTGAAACTATCTTCCTGTAGAACCTTTGAATAATTTAAATCTTCTGTCTCTTCTGTTTTCTTTTTTGATCCTTGACAATTCTAATTAAGAATTCTTGGAAGTTGTGTCTTAGCACAAATAATCTTCTGTGGCACTATGCTGACTGTACAGTTTTGTACTGTGCAGGAGTTTTGAAAAACATGATAAATAAGCTACCATGTTTCCCAATGCTTGAGATGTCCATTTACCCCTGTTCCCCACGTTAGTGCAGATACATTATTATGTAAATATATATGTCCTGCCCACTAAAATGTGTAATAACTAATAGGATAGTTGAAATCAGAGCAGTTTATTAAAAAAAATATATGTATAATATATAATCTCTTTTGGGTCACTTTGAACTTCAGTTCTCTCTCAGTGAGAGAGCTGGGTTTAAGAGCAAATGAGTACAGAGCCAAGTCTGGTATGAGTTACTGCGAATACTTGGACCTATAGAAAGATACCCATTTCTTAATAGTAACTTCTCTTAATTAAAATTTTATATTCCATGTGTGGTGTTAGTTCATACATTGCTGTTTACTGGATTATGTCTGATAATTGCTGCTACAGATCATCAGCCATAGTATTTTTACATGGCAAAATACAGAAGAAAAAACCCAGAAATATTAATATAATATAAATTGGATGATTTAGTCAAATAAAAGTAGACATGGACTCTCAGAATTTGCAGAAAGTCAAGAAGTTAGTAAAATGAAGCACATTACAAGTGTTGTCTTAGCAAGATTTTTCTGTTGGAAACAGCAAGGCAACCATACCATACGATTTCTGTGAAAATGTACATTACTACTACAGATTCATGAGGTTATATGCTGCCAAAGTAGTGATTACTTAAGGAAAAATAAAAATAATACAGAGTGTTTCCAGATTTGTCATAGAAACAAGGATCACAATACTGCAGGAAGCAGGGCTAATTTGAAATATGCTTAATATTGTTCCTATCTAAGTTAAGATCTGGAAAAGTGGAAGGAATATTCTCGGAAAAACCGGTGACCATGAAAACATAGTGTACATCATGGTATATTACGCTGCTGTGAATGCAGAATTTCTAATGGCCAGTGAAATCTCTCTTGGTATTTTTGGGCAGTAAAGGTGAGTAAATGAAAAATAAGTACAGTAGCAAATTGCCTTCATGAAATGCAGGTATATTTGGGCTATGAAGAAGCCACTTTGGCTGATTGTTGTCATGTAAGCATAGAATTGCTTGAGCAGAGACTGCAAAGAAGGAAGTGTCCTGCTTATCATGGCTTGTTACACATCAAAACTTTTGCCCTTGGATGCTTCCTGCAGCAGACCTTTGGAAAGTGTTAAGATGAAACACTGGAGTAAGTGGGTGATGGACGGATGATCAGGAGTTTACAAGGCCTTACTGTGTAGGTGTGTTAGCTGACTCAACCTTTTGGAAAGGTTAGCAGAAGGAAGGCACTTGCTGGCAGTCAGGGTGGCTGCACAAGACAATTTAGAGCTGCAATTCTGAAAAGAGAGAGGGGGAGACTTCTGCTCTTTCAGTGGTTGTGAGAATCAAGATGACGTGAATTTAGTGATGAACTATGAAAAACTGCCTACTGATTAAAGGTAAGAAAACAGTAAAGCTTGTCTTCACTGCTGTAAAGCCATCTAAAGAGTGTGCCAGGTTTTACTGGAAGTAATTGTAACAATTCAAAATGAATAAATTTTGAATTTATTTTTACCACTGTATCTTTCAGGGGTTGATGGAGAAGTGCATCTTCTGCATAGAAAACATAGATCCTCTTGATAATTTTAGGACTGCTTTATCTGTACTTTTGTCAGTTTTAATAATTGTTACAGTCCTGTTTCTTGGATTCTTCCTCTTGTTTTTAATAACCCTTATGCTTCCTGTTCTGAGGCACTGCCTAAATTTCTGCCAGCACAATCATAATTTTACTTAATCTTCATCCATTTCCTTATTGTTTAATGTAAATTGAAATATTATTTAGTCATCAATTATATTTTCCCATTATATTCTTTTATAGTAGTATATTTATCATGTCTTAAAAGCTAATGAATGATAGATCTAGAGTTTGGTGTTTCCCAGCAAGATGAGGAACATCAGCTAGCAGGAGCAAAGTTTTCCTGTACGCTGATATACATGTGGGAACCCAGCCTGGTAGCTGTGGCTCATGTCCTTGTTGCTGAGGCTTTCAGTAATTGCATAGCAGTATTGATGTTGCTTTGGGCACGTGTGAGATGAATGTTGCTTTAAAATGCTTTTCAAATAAAAAATTGAAGTGTCTGTCCTAGGAATGGCAGCCATACTAAGAATAATTGTTGGTTCTAATAAATAGTTTTGTTGGTTCTAATGATACAGTTTATGTCTATTGTTTAGTTCTTTAGCCACTAGAATTTTTTTACCTGTTAACAGTTAATTTTTAATTGTAGGCTTATTTCAGTCTTACATGTTGTTGGACATTATAATACAGAACAGGTTAGTAATTGCAAAAGAGTCTTCATTGTGATTTCTTTTGTCTCATGATGGTGGTTGTTGTTGTTGTTTAGGAAACCTGAATTGACTGACTCTGCCTCTCTGCTAGAGACCTTCAAGTTTCTTGAAAATGCAGCTGCAGATTTCAGTGATGAGGAAGATGAAGAAGATATTGAAGGAAGAGAGAAAACAATCATTGATACTGCAACAGTGAGTGGAAAAAATAATTGAAAAAGTTACGAAGAACAGAAAAAGTGAGATTAATGAGGTGCCTATAAGCAAAGTATATGACTGTGTATGTACACATGCAAATCATGAATACATCTTTATGATGTTCTGTCCAAGCATGTGTGCATAAGAGGAATTATATATGCATTTCTAAGTTTGTGCATACAAGTTATGCTTTGCCATCTTTATTGCTCTAAGTTAAATTAATTTTTTCTAAAATTCTCTTTACTATTCCATGCTGACTAATGTTTTTGAACTGGAACATGATTTTTAAGGTATCAGATGTCCTTTTTTTACAGTTCTCAGCTTAGTTTGAAGGTATTGTTCATAATGTTCCATGTCAGTAATTATTCTTGAAAATTTATTTTAAAAATATTGATACTTAAAATGACTTGTTGAAAGTTGTCTTAGAGTACAGAACTGAAATAGAATTGTATTTATAGCTTGTGGAAGGAAGAAGTGTAACTGGAAGAACTCTAATGTAGTTAGGAAATTTTTTTGTTTGTTCAGTCAAATGCCTTAATGTCACTAATGATCTATACTTCACTGTATGATTTGTTTATGTGGTCACATAGATACATACAATCAGTATTCCTCTTTAAAATTAAATTTATTCTGTGAATTGTGTTTCCTAAAAATTGAAGCAGATAAAAGGTGATGGATGTGATTGTTTCTATGGTCAGTTTTAAGAATTAACACTAAAAAATGGATTGGTTTTATGGCATTTTTAAAGGGGATCTTTTCAGATAATTTCTGTCATTCATGGACTCAACTAATGTCTGAGACTCTTCTGTTAAGTTCTATATAATATACAGTATGTTCCCTAAGCCTGCTGAAGAAATTAAGCTTGAAGTTTAGAATTGCTTCAGGTTTAGAAATTGGTTCACTGTATTTAGAGGAAGTACAGTCACTCATCCTCATGAGCTGTGGGATGTTGGACTATGTATTGAAGTCTTTACAGACTGACCCTTATCAAGGTTCCAAGTAAAAACATTTTGATTAATGTAAATTTTCTATTTCTGTAGAAGTAAAAATTACGGTACAGTTTTCATGTATCATGGTATCAGCTTACCAGTTGGTCAAATAACTGCAAAGAATCTAGTTCGTTTTGATTATTGAGGGAAAAGTGAATTTTTTGTGGGAAACTGAAGATTAAATTCTTCATTAAAACATTTTTTTTCTTTTACCATAATTTGCTTTTGAATCTGAGAGGGAATTGCATTTTTAACATGCTTAAGTAGTAATAACATCTGAAAAAGCATTCAGGATGGAATGATTTACAAAGTCTAAGAAGATCAGTTCTTGTTAATTCCAGGGTTTGGGGTTGGTTTATTTGTTTCCTGGAGTTGTGTCTTGGTCCACATAGAGAATGATTTCAGAATTGAAAGTTAGGCTATTTTCAGAGAGGCAGACTGAGATTGGTTTTGCTGAAGTCTTTTCTATGGCATTCTTGTTTGGTTTTTTTTTTTGTGGGTTTTATGTGTTTTTCAAAAATGTTTTAAGAGAAAGTTTGAACATTCTGGTATTAAAAAAAAGAAAGTAGTGGTTTAGATTAGTGTAGGTTCATTTTCCACATGATTGATCATTGATGGCCATAGGAAAAAAGAGCTACCCACAAGTTTCATTTTCACTTAGAAGTTTGAACAAAGTCTGCATATTATTCCAGATTTGCTTATTACTGTGTACTTTTCAGCTTCCTCTTCAACTTCCTGTTTGGATTTTGCATAGAGGACAAGACAGTACTGCTTGGATTAAAATTGTGTTTGTAACTTAATTCAGCTTTTTTTTTCCCTTTCCTTTCTGACCCTTCAGATTGTAAGGAAAAGAGTGTTATCTGATAGCAGTGAAGACAGAGATACAGAAGAAGCTTTGAAAGAGTTTGACTTTTTGGCTACCTCAGATGATGGTGATGGGGAATCAAGAAGTTCGGGAGATGGAACAGACTGGGGTAAGGAAATTTGATGGATCATACCTGGAGGAAAAAAAAAAAAGTGCTAACAATATATTGTGACTGATCAGTTCACTGAATGAGCTCTCTGTCAGGATCATAGTATCTTTTGATTATTTCTACTATTTCTATTTCTGTTTTATTATCAGTAAATAATTGGCAGGCTGAAGTCTTCTTTATACAATATTCTCTTTTTTCTGCTCATTCCTATAATGTAAAGATTCTTCAAGGTTTTTGCCTCAGGTCATTTTTCCTTTCCTTTAATTCTAAGGCAGATAGAATTTAAATTTTATGAGTGGTATTTCAATGTATTTTTCCAGTGACCCATGTACATTAAGGGCTCTGATAAAGCTGTATTTTCCAATTGTGATATGCAAGTTATTTTGTCATTTTTGCTTTCTTCCACTTTGATGCAGAGAGTAATGTGAGTCATAAAATCCAAATTAGTTGTACTCTTATTGTGGTTTAGTAATTTAGATAATATGAACTGTTCAGTTGCTCTAACTTTCTTTTATAATTTAGCAGGATAATGTATCTTTAAGTCTGCTAGCCATAGAGAGACATTTCATAAACTGCTCTCTGTCTTTTGAGGTTCACATCCTGCAAGCCAAATTGCCACCATCCAGTTTACCTTGACATAATTAATCTGCCTAAATCCTTTGTGTAGAGAAGGGGAGAAAGAAGAGAACTGGTTAAATACCTTGATAGGAAGTTGTTTCCTACATAAGCTGCTCTGGAAAGTCTTAAAGATAAGTGGACACAGAGGGGGCTATTGATGATGATGGGAAATAACTGAGCTGCAACTGTGACAGGCTGATAAGCCATGGTAGCTGTGGCTCTCACATGAGCTGTTGGCTCCAAGATGTTGTATTGCACTAAAGCCATGTCCATCTCCTGGCTGGACTCCAAGTTACTGTTCAGTGTGGTGTAGTCTCTGCTTAAGAGGATGTTGTAATATCATTATATACAGCAGCCAGTATTCTATTCACCAAACAAATTTAAAAATACTTCTCTTAAGAAAAATCAGATACTGCTCTTTAATACTAAATACTAAAATTTTGTACATTTATGCTTGGCCAGTGCAGCTATTGTTGCACCTGTGTCACCAAAAAGTCAGTATCCCAACAGGAGCTTTTTATTCTCTAATTCACACATCTGGTTTATTTTTGAATTCATTGATGACATCTGAGTACAAGTGAGCGGAAGTCTAACATTTAAAATAAATTGCTTTGAAAAATAGTAGTTTCATTTCCAGAAATGCAAAAGGGTTTTTTTTTAGTTAGAGGTATTCATGTTTTTCAATTACTTCTTTCACAACCTGTGTCTTTAATGGTAACTAGATGAGACTAGAAGTTTCTTCAGGGAGCTCCCTTTATAAATCACTTAGGTCAATTTAAGTGAAACTGTTAAATGTAGTACAGTAGAGTGATGTTGTAGTGAGGGACAGCAGCAAACAGAGGAAATTCTTTCTTCATTTTGGATTCTAAGTATTACTGCTCAGTTACAGTCATCTGTTGAACCGATTCGTCTTGAAATGTCCTCAGATGTTTTCTGGTAATTTTTAAACTATAAAGCACTTGAATACCAATAATTCAGGATCCACTTCTGAAGTTGAATAGTATCTCTGGGATGTGTGGGAAGCATGCTGGGACAGTCTGTAGAAAATTAATGTATTGGGTGTTATCCTGGCAAAAACACAATCTAATAAAAATCTATTTAATTTTTTTTTTTTGGTTATTGTTGTAGTTGTTGTTGTTGTAGGAGAGAAAAAAGTCTTGTCTATGCAGGGAGGAAAACCGTGATAAAATTTTCAAATGAATTCCAGAATGACTAGCTACTTGTTTCTCTGAAGTATGGTTATCTTATATCTTTTTTGAATTCTTTATGCAATTCTTGCTCATTAGTGGTAATTGAGGTATATGCATTAAGAGGACATGACTTAGCTAATATTCTATTCCACAATCAATTTTAGAGTCTCACTTGAGCTTACTACTGCTTGTTTTCATACCTTTTCTTAAAAGACTTCAGCTGCTAAATTTTGTCTTAATCTAACACGCAGTGAGGAGAGCATCATGACTGAAGGGTTCAAAGGAGTGAGAAAGCACCTTAAAAAGTAGCTTCTCCCTCTGTGATGCAAGTCTGAGCAGAGTTAGGCTCTGTTTTCTCAACATGTGCATCCGGTAGTTAGAGGCCACACTAAGAAGCCTTTTTTTGCCGTCACTGAACTCTCACAGTAGTCTAAGCCCCTCCTTGTAGCTCATCTGCTTCAGCTTCCAGAACCATCTTAGGGGCTCCCTTAGACTTGCTACACTATGCCAATAATAGGTACTTAGGACTCTACCTATAAGTGTTTCTCAGTATTAAAATTATTATATTGGATGGAATACTCAAAAGTGTGGTCTCACAAGTGCCCAACACAAGGGAACAGTCACTTCCCTCACCCTCTTGGTTACGTTCTTGATACTACAACCCAGAATATTGTTAGTTGCTTTTGCTGTAAGAATATGTTGCCGAATCCTGTTGATAGAGGATCCCTAGGTCTTTTCAGCATTATGCATTTTTGACAAATCAGTCACAATAATAACCCATGTGTGGTTTTTTATCTTCTGTCCAGTCATACTGTCACTTTCAGACTGTGATTGATAGTGTTGTGCTTCCTCTACAGACATTTAAGTTCTACAGCTTAGTCTGAGGATAAGTTTATTATTGTTTGTGTTTTGAAAGGTCTAGAATAGCTTATCAATGTAGAAAGCAAATGTGGTCTGAAAGGAATTAATCTTTAAATAATAACGTTGAGATTTTAATGAGAAAACAAAGCAAAAAGAAAACGTGTTTCAAAGATTTTGGAGCTGTAATGGTCATGAAAATATATATAAGGAAAAGCTGTGTTACCTCCCCTCTTCTCGCAAATTATTTTTCTAAGCTGCCTCAGGACAGCCTCCATATATGGAAAAATTACTCGGGGGATTTGAACTCATATAACAAGTTTTGTTCAAAATCTCTAAATACTGTAGAATTGAAATAGAATTCTATTCTGTATCGTGTCACAGAGGAAGCAATTTGAGGGAGATGTTTAGGAAAAAAAACAAACCCAAAACAAAATATGGGGATTTTTTTTTCATTAGGTATGCTCAAGTGTTTTGGACTTTTTTTACAAAGATTACTACCGCAGGCCTTCATCTTTTTGTGAATTTTCATGGCATTAGTGCTCTAATGGTTTATTTAAACCACAGTGACATGAATACTGGGTTCCAAAATGATTTCAATGTGCTACTGCTTTCTGTAAATGACAACATAGCACAAAGACAATAAAATGAGAATTTGAAATGCAGTGACACAACATCTGAGTTGTAAAGTTATGTTGACAAGTAACATAGCTGTTTCTTCTACATATAATAATTCTTTCTGTGGAGGAAAGAAAAAGCTGAAAAATACATCCTCATTTATTGTAAAGTAAATGTCGCTTACATTTATGGACAGCTATGTGCTTGGTTATGGGAATTAAACACATGAAATTTCATCTCAATTTTTTGATTAAGAACATTCTGAACAAACAGAAGTGGAATGTGAGTAGCAGTTTTACAGCTTTCACAAGCTTGGTGCTATTTCTGTCTGTTTAAAATAAAAGACAAATGCCGTTGACAGCAGCTGTTGCCTCCTTCAGTGGAGATCACTTGGTGACATTATTGAAAAAGGATGTTTCATTTGTTTCACTTTGTTTAGAAAAGGAAGACCAGTGTCTCATGCCTGAAGCCTGGAATGTCGACCAGGGAGTTATAACCAAACTCAAGGAACAATACAAAAAGGAGCGCAAGGGGAAAAAGGGGGTGAAGAGTAAGTGGAAAACATTGCACCTTAAAATCATAAATCTCACATCTTTCACACCCTTAATTCTATCTCTCTTTCAATGTTTTCCTAAAATTACTTACTCTTTTACTTTGCTGCTCCTGACTGCTTTCCTGTTCACCAGTTCTCAGGGGTTGAAATTAATGACAGACAATCAAGTTACCCAATAAATAGTTGAATTAGATGTAACTTCTTCCAACCAAGTGTTGGGTTAGTTAAAAATTCTTGCTTTGAGCATGGTTTGTACATTCATTATTCAGATACTTAAATTGTAAAAGGCATTGTTTTAATACTTCACACTTTAATACAGAAGACTTCAGAACCCTTTCTTAGCTGGAAACATGCCAGTTCCACAGGAAGAGTTAAAGTCTGGTATATAAATAAACAAAGAAAGAAACCAAACTGGAAACTCTCTTGAGTATCCTATTAGATGACAGTGGGAGAAAACAGGTTAATTTCTACCCCTGTTTATACTTGACATTCACAACATGAAAGTCATGCTGTCATCATAATTTGTTATGCAGGGCTCGAAATAGGAAGCAACTATGACCATCAGTTTATTTGTGAATCCTAGGATTTATTTGTTGACTTTCATATCTCTGGGACTAGCCTTTAAAAAAGTTGGTATTGTTATTAAAAAAAACAAAACCAAACTGTGAACAGTATCTGAAATGCAGTTTCTAGCCCTGTACTTTTTTGTTACATTTCTTGAAAAACAGATATGTTTTGTAAAATCAATGGGTTTTGATAGGTAAGCCGTAAAACTTTTTGAACTCAGATGAGAGTTTAAAATTAAACACTGTATCCATGGCTGTGTTTCAAATACCTAGCCATATTGAGAATTCATGTGTGAAAGATGTATGTTAATAATATTGCATGTAGCCTGGTAAGAAATTTCAGGGATGTTTCTCCCTTTGTGGGAAGATGCTTATGAATACTAAGAAAATTCTCACTTCCAAAGAGATATGCATAATGGTACAAATATGTCAGAACCTCACGTCATTGAGGCTGACTTGTTTTATTACTTTTTGTATTGATATTCTCATGAGCTGCGGCTCAGCTGTCAGTTATGTGGCTGAAATTATGTTATGAAATACAAAAACTAAACCTCTCTTTTCTTTTCCAAATTTTTTTTTAAAAAAAGGTGAATAATTACCATGCTTTAAATTTCTCAAGTAATATTTTTTTCATCTTTGGAATAATTTAATTTACTGGAAGTTAATTGCAAGTCTGGCAAGAAGCTGAACTGGCTAACTAAAGTGTTCATGTTTAACAAAATTGATTCTAAATTTCTTTATGGTTAAGATAGGGCATGCCAGTATATGATTACGATGAAAGTGATTTTTGTAGCTTGTCTGTTATTTTTAAAATATACAGACATGTTATGTAGTTCAGGGTAAAATAGCTGTAAGGTTAGTTTAGCAGAAATTATTTAATCCAAGTATTGAAATTCTGCTCTTGAACAGCTGTTGTCTTTTTATTTTTGATAAAACTTAATTGTTAATATAGACGTAAACATTATTGGAATATGTTTATATCATTATGAGAAAAACTCATGATGTGAAGACAGCACCGGGGCATCCAGTGCTTCTTCATGAAGATAACTGCTGCTCAGTACCTTTTGGATTGATTTGATTGGTTTGATATTGGGAGACAAAGTGATTTACTGTAGCAGTGAAATTAAGCATCTTTCCATGGACAAACCATCATTGGAGGGGCATCAATGCAGAAAAATCAGGAAGAATCAGAGCCTGTTTTCAGTTATTCATAATACTGCACGTAGTGAAGAAGAATGTGAGGGAGGCTGTCTGGAGAAAAAAGAAGGGACTAAATAACATTAAATTTTACAAAGTTTGTTTCCATTACTTTAATTTCATCATATATGGTGCTTAGCCACTGAACTGCTACTAAGTAAAATACTGTTTTTATAGTAAAACAATCTTGCAAAATCCTTCTTAGTGTGTTTCTAGATTGAGTAATATTTTGGTGACAGACAAGTTAAATACAATTTAGTTTATTATCAGTCATTATGGTTAGGGTGGACAACGTAGCATTTGCAACTGCATTAGTAAACTCATGATTTTGCAAGGCTGTAGTAAACATTCCTATGAAGTAATAAGAGAATAGAATCATAGAATGGTTTTATAAGACAATACATATATTAGAGTACACTACTGTGTTAAAGCTGCTTAAAAATAGCTGTATTATTTACTGGTCTAGGAAAAAACATAATGGACTATGGGTAAGACATTTTCCCATTCTTAATTAAACTTACAACAGGAAAAACTACCGAAGATATGTTTCAGCCTCAATCCTATATAAAACAGTCAAAACAGGGATGTGGGAAAATGATGGAGCAAAGCACAGGTAAGTGTCAAGGAGGGCATGGGTCTTCACCATATGTAGCTTCAGGAAGTAGGCCAGTGAATCCAGTTGCATTTTTATTTTAATATAACTTTTTGGATCATATAGTTCACGATACTACACTACTGCACAAATAAATTTAAATTATAATGTTGTCATAAGAATATGCTGCACAAAGTACCTGATGCACAAATTCTAAAATATTCACAGATGTCAGCTATTGTTTTAGCAAAGTAAATATTCTAATAATCTAAAGTGTGACTCAGTTGGCGGCATTCTTCAGCATCCCGTACAAGTAGCACTATGAGTTCATACATATGGGGAAAATTGTGCGTTCACAGTTCTCAGTTGCTTCTATCACTTTCTTCTTGAAATTCATTTCATGCTGGATAATTAATTACTGCTGAAATAAGTGCTCATTAGTTTTTCTGTGGTAATGTCATAATGCAAGGTAGGATCCATTGTTGCATGTGCTGCTATAGCATATCTGATATAAGGAGTGTCATCGTGAACTATGCCTAAACCCTTTAATTTTTTGGTTTTTTCTGGTTAGGGCCCAACAGGTCAAAGCTGCAAGATATGCTTGCAAACTTGAGAGATGTTGATGATCTCCCTTCATTACAACCATCTGTTGCACCTTCTTCTAGGCCCAGTAGCTCAAGGCTCATTGAACATGAGATAAACAGGACGGATGAAGGTAAATATTAAAAAAGTGCATACCCCTTTGTAAAGGGTGGATGTTTATAGTTACTTAAGGATTATCCTCTAAGACTTTCCAAGCACTTCACATTCTGATTGCAAGTTCCAACTGTGATAAATGACATTCCCATTCCTCCATTATGATCACTATTAGTAAGGTCAAGACACCTACCTAAGTTCAAGTCTTGGCTGAATACCTATGAGCGTGATGGAAAAAAAATAATTTGGCACTTAGTGGCTTTGTAATATGACCATCCTAAATCACTTGCTTTTGTTTGCGCTCAAGCCTGGCAGACAAGCGTGGACCATAAACTCTGAGGACATAAGAGCATCATTTCTTTTCCCACTGACATAATTTTAAGTGTACATATGTATACATACACACACACAGGCTTATCCTTTTTTCCCAGGTGCAAAGATAGAGTCCCTGCAGGTAAACACAGATGCCTTACTATAGCTTTCAGAAGCACGTGATGATTGTGTAGTGAATCATACTGAACAATTTTCAGCTTGGCAGTTTATAAAATTCTATAACATGTTGCAGTAATTAAGAAAAATGCTCATAGGGGCTAGCCCAAGTATGGAGAGCTACGCATGCGTCTTTGTAATGAAACACTACTATTATGTCTGAAAAATGCCAAGTCATCTGTTTGATTCAATATTTGAATTGCTATAATATAGAGCATAATAACATATGCTATATGAGGCTGTATTAATTTGCCAAATATAGCAACCTTCTAGTACCTAAACAGAGCTTGCAGGAGAGCTGGAGAGGGACTTCTTACATGGGCATGTAGTGACAGTACAAGGGAGAATGGTTTCAGACTGAAAAGAAGGCAGGTGTAGATTAGATATTAGGAAGAATTAGGAAGAATTCTTTACTGTGAGGGTAGTGAGACACTCAACAGAAAGTTCAAAGAAGTTGTAGATGCCCTGTCCCTGGAAGTGTTCAGTACCAAGCTGGATGGTGCTTTGATCAATCCCATCAAGTGGAAGGTGTCCCTGCCTATGGCAGGGGGCTAGAACATGGTGTATCTGTAAGGTCCTTTCCAAACCAAACCATTCTATGATTCTGTGGTATCATGTGGTATCTATTAAAATGGTAAATACGTGTTTTGAAAAACGTGCAAAACATGAGTTCCACTTAGCAGTCTTTCAGTGAGAGTGAAAAAGTAGGTCGGCCAACTTATAATTAAGATGCATAAAAAGCCCTGGTGTGTGGAATAGTTACCAAAGATCTCAGTGATTCTGCTTCCTTCATGCTCAGTGATTTTCTTTATGAAAGAAGGGTGTAACTTAGCAACGCTTTGAGAAGTGGAAGAATTTTTTGTTGAATGTTCCCTTTCTAACTTTTCTCACATGTACTGAGAACTATATTAGCAGAGCTCTATTTTCATGTCCTTTCAGTAATGTGTTTTTTAATGCTGAGACTCAAATGGATTCTCAGAAAAAAGGACAGCTGATTGTTACCAGTCTGAGTTCAATATTACTATTAACTGTGTATTTCTTTATAAAGCTGAGACACCATAATATTTTGGGCACACATGTTTTTATTTTTTTATTCTAGTAAGTTTTCAAGCCTGATGTCCTGTATGTATTGTGTGTTGAGTAAAATATTGCATTGTGAGTTCAAAAGACAGGAAAAGAGAAGGGTAGTATAGACTTTGGGGTGGAGAAGATAAAAGATGTTTGTGATTTAAAGGTAATCACTAAGAGACCTAACCAAAGAGCAGTGCTTGAAGGGGTTTTATGTGGGCTGCTCCCACCAGCTGTTTTTATCTACATTTTTGTTGCTTCTTCAGCACCTATTTGCATATTTTGTAGCTGAGTTGGGGAAGATATTTTCTGTGTTACTTGTGCATTATATATGGATGAATGGTAGCACACCCTTCCTGCCCGTGGCTGGCTCCATTCACTGTCTGGAGTCGCACACACCTCAAATGTAGGTGTGTTCAGAGGGTGCTGTTTATTGGTAAGTACAGTGATTATCTTTTGAGTAGCTGGTTTTCCATGCATCTCTGTGTATCTTTTTGCCCTTGGCTACTTGAGAGATACGTAGCATTCTGAAAGTGGAAAATGTGCTTTTATTGTGCAGTGTAGTATAAACCTGTGTTTCAGGATTTTTTTGTTTGTTTGTTTTGTTTTCTTGCAGTGGAAGCTTTAACATTCCCTCCATCCTCAGGGAAATCTTTCATTATGGGAACAGATGAAGCCCTTGAAAATGAACTGGGTCTTGGAGAACTGGCAGGCCTTACTGTAGCAAATGAAGCAGATTCGCTGACTTATGATGTAAGTGGTTATTAATGGTAACTCAACATCCTTCTGTCTTGTTGAAGGCAGATGCAAGTTACTTGTATGTAGACTCGGCAGAAAACATTCTCCAGTTAAAATTATGCTGCTAGATGATGTCACAAAGTTTTACTTGACAAAGCTGTCCTTCCCACACAGCAGCATTCAAGCTCTCTGCAAGCCCCTCTCCTCTCATTTGCCTGCCATGTTATGCAAGTGAAAGTAAATCAGTGATGGTGGTACAGCTGGTCATGTGTAACCCAGTGACTGAGCAAAAAAAATAAGAATATCATGACCAGCAGATTGAGAGATGTTTATGTCCCTTCTACATGGGCTGTATGCAGTTTTGGGCCACTCCACTTCAAAGTGGGGTTGTAGAGAATTTGAAGAGCATCCAGTAGCTTCTGACTGATGAGTAGATGTTAAGGCAGCTAGTCTTGCTCAGCTGTTAGGAGGATGAGGAGTGCTTGAATAGCAGCTTGCAGGTATTAGGAGGGTGCTTGTAAGGATGGCAGAGCCAAGCTTCTCCATAGTGCCAGGCATTAAGGCAGAAGAAAACAACAGCAAGTTACAGCTTGGGAGGTTCAGGTAAGACACTAGGGAAGAAAGTTTTTTCTCTGAAAAAGCTTGCTCAGAGAAACAGTGGAATCCCTCTCCTGAGAGATATTGAAGACTTGGCTGGAGCAGAGCAGTGGTTACATTACCTGGTGTGGGCAATATTTTCATTTCAAATGGGAAACTGGACCAGAACTCTTTGGAAGGTTCTGTGGCTAAGTGTGGAGCCTTATTTTTCTTGCACTGTTTATGAAAAAAATCTTTCTTAAAATGGCATCTTTTCAGTTGTATGCAATTCTTTTCTGTATTTCTGATTTCTTGGGAAAAGATACTTCAGGTATTAATTTAATCATCTGCTCTTGTGTGGTCTGTCAGCTTCAGATTAATCTTGCTATTGCATTGCCCAGCCATGTCAAGGCTGAGGGATTTCAGAAATAATTTTTAATAGTGTGCTGGGGAAGAATCCTACCCTTCAGTAAATCTGACTCTTAAATAATCATTATCTGAGATTTTACCATCACAAATGAATTCTGAGGCTTTAGAAATAAGATGCAGGTCCTTACTTTGAAGTTCTACCCCTGTATGCACTTGTAAAGCAATGGAATACATAGTTAATAAAAGCTTATGCACGTTTTCAGAGTGTCACTGTAGAGATGCCACTATAGCAAGTTTCTGAACATGTGATATGTTATGAATCATCAGTATTGCAATGAATGCAGAGCATTTCTGGTAAAATTCAGTATTTTAATATTATCTCCTAATTTGGTCTCAGTTCTTAATGTTTTTATTCATTGTCCCTAATTATGTCTTCAGAAAGGGGTATGAATGAATTTCTGTTACAGATACTCCTAAAAATCCAAGGCTGGATTTTAAATTCAGAGAACATGACAAACCTAACCCATCTGTGCAAGATGCTTCCATTGCTTGACTTCATTGTGCAAGTGTCCATGTAAACTGTTGTGTTTGTTCATGTCTCTGTATCCTGAACTAACAGCTTTCATTTATGGAGTAGCACTTATCCACTCCAGTCCTTTCCTGCATGGTAGAGAATACTAATTTCTATTTGTTCATTTGTCCAGTGCTTGTATGAAATCCTGTGATCAGGAATTCATAGTCATGATTACCTTGACTCTTACCTTTTTCTAGTGCTGACAATTAAAAAAAAAAATTTTCAAAACTGTTTGTTCTGGTTACTGTGCACTTCATTGAAGCAAAATAAAAGGCTGGTGTTTCTATTTCAAGTTTCATTGTAAGTGTAGCTTACAGATAATGTAATGTTTCTATTTTGGACTGTTTCATACATCTGGCTGCCAAATATGAACAAGGTATGATTAGTGAAAATTTAGTATGTTATTTTTAAGCGTCAGTTTTCAATCATATGGAGAATTAAGTTGAAAGATCATGTGAATCAGTCTTTAAATATATTTGCTTTCAAGAGTGGCAAACACTTTTTCCATTTTTTGTCCCTTTCATCCCACTGACATTTTTGCTGCATTCTTTTCTTCTACAAAATGGCAGCATTAGCCTACCTCATTTAATGGTTTCAGTTTTATGCATATTGCTTTGACTGTAAATTGAAGAATGGTTTTCACTTGGTAATGGAGATTATGAATTTATTACTTAAAAAACATTTTTTTTCTTTTGTAGATAGGTTTTAGAGTATCTAACGATTAAGTTTACCAGATTGCTTGCCAATGCACTTCAGTTTGCCTTTTCTTTTTCCTTCCTTTACACATTCTTGACAAATGTTTACTTTGGTTGGCTCTGGTTTTTTCCCTAGTTTTCTGAATAGATTAAGCAACTTCATAAAATTATAGTAGTTAAGAGTAGCTGAACTACAAAATCATTGCATTTAATATTGAATACTGATTTGAAGGTTTTGGATTTCACAGTAGGCCCTTGTTTGAGTTCTTACGTCTTTGAACAAGTGCCTGTAATTGCATGTCATTTCTGGTTTTAGTTCTCAATTTGTTTTCAGTTAATTTTTGATTTTGTGTAGACACAAATAGTATTATAAGTGGCAAATCCATATCAACTGCTGATTTTGGGGTTGGCATCCCCCCAAACTGCTTTTCAGGCCTCGGGTTACCTCCCTGTTGTACTTCGGTGGGAAGAGACAGAAGGAGGTTGTCTGCTGCATGAGTAATCAGCCTCACAGCTTGTGAGACTGGTGGGTAGAGTGATGTGGTGCAGCCAGGTGGGTGATGTGTCAGGGTTAGAATCTGTTTCCACCTCTGCTACTGGTCTGCTGTCTGGGACTGCCCTCCATCTACTTTGCAGTTTATAAACTACCCATCTTGGACTCCTTTTGGAAGGACATTTTTGAATGAAAGACAAGCAAATGGAGAATCTTATCCTTCCAGGACTGGAATTCACTGTTGGGCCATCTGAGGTGTCTTTGTGGCTTTTGCAGATGTGGCTCAGAACCTGTGCTGCTGGTGTGGCAGCTGGAGGGCAGGAGGGTTCCCTCCATCACCTAATTGGCATTAGGTGCCTATGTTGAGGCAACCAAATTCCTCTCCAGGTATCTGTACATCTTGTACCCTTTTTGCTGAGACTTTCTTGGCCAGTCTTCAGAAAATCTGCCAGAGCTGCTAACTGTGCAGTCCTGCCCCATCCTTGTACCAGCTCGAGCATTTGTCTGTTCCTTCACTGAGCCAACTTGGCTCAGTGAAGTGGCAAAGAAACTGACTGTCTTCCTGAGCAAGGCAATATGTCATTACTAAGAAATATGATGAGACTAAACCTGCTGTTTCTTATGGCTCCTTTCTCCTTGTTTAAAATCGATAGAATATTTTAAATTATGTATATTTTTATTATTAAATCCAGATGTAACAAAGCTTAAGAAAAAGCACTTTTGTTCTTAAACCTCCTCTTTCACCTCCAGTCCCCAGAATAAAATGTTTCTTGAAGTGGCTCAAAACAGATGTCTCGTCTTTGCAGTTTAAAGATATAAATTATATAGAATTATCTGTAGATTTCAACATGATAAACATCAGTAAAATTGTTTGTTTTCTTGGTTTTCCATAACCACCATCAGCAATGGTTATGAAAAGGTAAATTTAATTTGTGACATTCTTGACTGACAGTGAAAAAGTCTGTTCAGTATTTTTTGTCAATATTTGTTCAGAGGAGCAATATTGAAGTAACTTTTTTTTAAAAAAAAGCTTCCTTTTTGGATCTTCTAAAATGCATTTATTGCCAAATTATTGTGTCTGTATACACGATACCTTATTGCCTGCCAGTTAGATTCTTAGTGTGTAGCCAAATCCTTTTTGCCTTTTTTTTCTATTCTGGCAAACTTTACTTGTTATGTGTTATTACAGAGCTTGTGTTGCCTTAGCTGGATAAGTTAGGTTGTGTTCCTTTCTGTGCTTCTAGAGAATTCTCTGTTTCTCTCAGATCTTTGCTTTAGAGGTGCCATGCCAGTAGTGCTTTGGATATTCAGGGACTGCACCTTGGTGAGTCAAGCCCAGCTTTGTAGGTGAATGAGCCAGTAGGTATAGATCAAATTTTAAATACTTAACTGAGTTCACTGAAGTATCAGTGCTTTTAAAGTGTGTCATTTTACAGACATGAGAGTATTTCAGATTCACATAGAATTTATTACTGTGGATACGACATTACTTGTATGGAGTACATCTACCTTGGTTCTCATTTTGAAGTGTCTGGTTAGTGTTGAGTGGACTGTTATTTGAGAGCAGGTTGTTGTGAAAAGTGGGTGAGGTAATTTGACTTCTTCTGAAAATGCCAAACCAAATTTTTGATTTCTTCCTTTTGTTGTGCCAAACTAAATTTTTGATTTCTTCCTTTTGTTGTGCCTTCCAGCTTAATTACAAGTTTGGCATTTTTTTTATTAGATAGCCAACAATAAGGATGCATTGAGAAAGACTTGGAACCCCAAATTTACGTTAAGAAGTCACTTTGATGGAATAAGAGGTCTCGCTTTTCATCCGGTTGAACCAGTCTTAATAACAGCTTCAGAGGACCATACATTAAAAATGTGGAATTTACAAAAAACAGCCCCAGCAAAAAAGTAAGATTTTTTCTTTCTTTTCTTCAAAAACAATTTTAATTTATGAAGAAAAACAAACATACACACTACTTCACTGAATGACCCTCACAGTTAATGGAAAGTGTTCCTTGAATTTAAGAGTAGGAAAACAAGCTCTCAGAGAAGGGTGGAGATGCCTAAAGAATGCCAGAAAAAATTCATGTGTGTTTGTGAATGTGTTTTGTTTGTGAAGAGGAAAACCATTCACTTTTTTGTATTTTCCTTGTATATAACAAAACAAATTAATTTACTAGTGAAAATATTTGGATGCGGCCTGTTAGTGTGCTTGCATGTGTATATAAATGTATAGGATGCATTTATATATATATGCATATGTATGTATACACATACATGCATATACATGTATACAACTTGGAACTCTGAGATGTTGCCAGGTTCCTGTGTTCACTGTCTCTTGCAAATTGCTGGGAATTTGTGGAAATCAGAGGGAATTCGTAGCAGGGCTGGTGTGATTAAGAGAGTACGTCACAACTTTGAGGAGAACTGCACATAACACAGAGTCTTCCCTTGGACTGATAAAGTCCAGAGCAGCAAATTTTGAAGCACTTCAGTGTCGATAGAAAAACTATGAGTGCAAAACTTCTTTGCTCCAATAGGAACAATTAATGATACATTTCACAAGATGCTGATGTTTCTCCACTTTTTCTGCTCCACTGATGTACCTACCTACTTGTATGATGGGTCTGTGGACTACTTTGAAGGTCTTTAAACAAAAAAACAAATCCTGTCGTGTTTTGAAGGACTGCAAATATGCCTAGACACATGAAAAATTGTGTTGGGAGAGGAAGTTGTAGGAGAAATACTGCAAAAGATGTAGCAGGGATTTTAAGAATTTAGTGATTCTGGCACATTTTTGTAAAGCATCGTATAGGATGGTATACATGTTAACATTTTTTTCATACTTCATTTAGGAGTGCTTCTCTTGATGTAGAGCCAATATATACCTTCCGAGCACATAAGTAAGTATTTCCTGAGAAATACTGACATTTTGAAAAAGATGTGATTTTTAAACAGAATTTTTAAAAAAATAATTTCTACCTTATCAGCTACTGATTTCATGTGATGCTTTTAGTTCCTATGTTGTTTAGAATATCTGCATGTGTTCTTCTCCTTTCTTCATAGTTATTTATGTCTGAAGTCAGATACACCACAATTTTAAAATGGAAAGCCTACAAATGATCCAATTCAAATTTGATTAGATGATCTGTTCATCATTGCAGCTTTTGCCTTTTTGCCACATACTTGCATATGTGGAATGAAACTGAAGAATGAAGGCAGTGAATTTAAATCTACTTAGATGATTTCATGAAAGAGCCTTAAATCTTTTGAAAAGAGAAAAAGTCTGTTTCTGTGAAATATAAAATCCTGGAGTTTAAATTGTGATAATTTTCACATTTTGTGTGCATGATGATTATTTTTTTTATTGTAGTTGTGTTACCAGATATTTTGGAAGGTATTTTTGTGGGAAGTCTTGTAAGTCTTGTAGCATATAATTTCATTATGCAGAATTTTTTTTTGCAATCCATGCAGCAAGTGAACTGTATCTAACATGGAAATTTGAGGATTCTGAAAAATGACATTGCATTTCACGTAATGAAAATGTTAATAGTCAGTGTTTCTTTGGGGCTTTCTTCCAGTGGACCAGTGCTCTGTGTGGTGATGAGCAGTAATGGTGAACAGTGCTACAGCGGGGGAACGGATGGCCTCATCCATGGCTGGAACACGACCAACCCAAACATCGACCCCTATGACTCTTACGGTACGTTGCTGTCACACACAGCAGCGAAATGATAAGTTTTGTGACAGTAATGTTATGTCTCTAAAACAGTGTAATTTATAGATAATGCTTCTGTGAAAGTTTAAATGAGCAAATGGAATCTTATCTTCAATTACTTAAAGTAACCTTTTGTTTTAATGCTGATGCTGCTTGGTGGCAAGATAAAATGTCATTTTCTTAAAAAAGGCCTTGATCTCATTATAGTTTTGAGAAACAGCTAGTCTAAAGTAAGTTTTTAAAAGTACAGGTCTAAACCTGATGATTTGGCAAGTACGGGAAATGCTGTTCTTTGGAAAATTTCTGTGGAGTTGAGATAAAATGGTTTTATACTTTGAGAGCAAAGCTATTAATGTTGGTTAGAAACAACTAAAAAGGTCCAATTTGGTAAAATTTACCAGATTTGACTGGATGTCAGCCTTGTGTCTAAATAATTTTATGATTTATTTTTCACTTCTGGTGAAAGCTTCAGATGCAGTTGGCCTCAAAGCTAACTTCTGCATAAAAGGGACTGCTGTGGAATTAATGGCTATTTGAAAGTGAATTTTAGCAATGAAGTGTGTTTTGCCAAATTCAGTACTGTCCCTCCTGCTGAAGCATTGTTTTGTTCCTTTAGTTGTAAACTGGGTAATTGAATGTCATGTGTGCTGCTGAAATTCAAGCATTGTAATGCCAGAATAATTAAGACTTCTGTATTGGTATGATGTGATTGATCTTGGGGTTTTTTATGGATTATCTTCCAAAGGTTGGTGCCTAAACACAGGCTAAGATACAGCTATTAATTCAGATTTTGTTTTGAAATGTGTTTTGCTGTGTTTCGTTCACAGATCCTTCTGTTCTAAGAGGTGCTTTTGTAGGCCATACTGATGCTGTGTGGGGTCTGGTTTACAGTGGAGCTCACCAGCGTCTGCTATCCTGTTCAGCAGACGGCACTATACGTTTATGGAAAGCTACAGAAATTGCTCCAGCTCTCAATATATTTAATGATAATCAAGGTACAGAAAATTGCCCTACCCTGAAGTTCATCACTGCTCAGACTGACGTAATTTTGGCAACTGAATGGAAATACTTCTTGCGCTTCTTTCTGAGTTTTGTATCTTTATGAATGTTTTTGGGAAGAGTAAATTTTGTGACCTGTCTACATGCAAGGGGACAGTTAGGTACATCTAAAAGCCAACTGCTGCAGATGATCTGCTGATGTTACTAGCACCATGGAAGATAATGTATTAACTCCATAATTCACAGTCAAATTTAAGTTTCCACTAGGCCCTTGCTTTTAGTTTATCCAGAATAAAAAGCCCTTTCTTCCCCCAGTGGAAGTTTGGAGTAACCAGTGTTTCACCTCAGGCCAGTGTCATTGTACCTTCCAGATTTGTTCCTTGTGCCTCTAACACAGATATTCCACTTGAATTTCTGAGTTTGCACATTAACTAAACAACAATAACCTAAACACTGCTAGTTGGAAAAAAGTACTTCTTGGAGTTAGTTACTGAAATGTCATGCACAAGTGAAAAACCCACTGGTTAGAATCTAATTTCAGGTAGTTGCTGTCTGTCTGAGTCAGAGTGCTCCAGAACAAGCCCATTGACATTGCCAAACTCTCTTAGAGCTGGTAGTCATTAAAGACAGCCCATGAGCTGAGACAGTTACTTGTCTCTTCAGAAAAACTTTGAGGCAAAATAAACCTTGTCACAGCTGAACATGTCAAATTTTACTGTAAAGCTGGTCAGATATGCCATTACTTGTTAGTTAAAACAGACTGAGCAAAATAAAAACATTCCACGTATTTTAGTTTTTGCAAAACTATGTTTCTAAAGGTTGGCAGGCTTCTTATTGCCAGCTTGCAATGAGAACTTCCTGGTAGAGTTTTGGGGTTTGTTACTGTGAGTCGTTTTGGTTTTAATTATTAAACTAAAGGGGAAGGAGGAGTAGTCTTGCCTCATAGAATTACGATTAGGGCTTTTTTTTGTATTCTAAACTGGAATGAGGCCCAGTTGTGAAATCCAAAGACTGAAAACTCAGTTTTTCTATGGCTTATTGATAACCTTGAACAAACCCCCTAAAATATCTGTCATTCATTATTGAAGACCTTTAGATTAACCATTGTAGGCTTACCAGGAAGCTGCAGATAAGCATGCATGGCAGTGAAAGAAAAGGTCAATTGAGAAACTGTGTTCTCTTCTCCCACCAATCCTTTTTGCCTTTTTTTTCGAATACTTGTTGGTAACTACTGCCATTCCTGAGAAATATTCCTGAAGTCCTGTGTCTCAGAAAGATATTTCTTCCATGAATCTTTAGAGTTTACAGGGATGTGATGGTATTCCTGTGTTATCTGAATCTATGATCCAACATTAGTTTGCTTAAAATTCAGTTTCTCACTCTCTATCTTTTCCTCCTCCTCCTGGCATCTGTTGCAACTGGTGTTGTTCTTTCACATAGCAGGTGGTGAACAGGACATTTGAGAAGAAAAATCCTAAGGGATTTATCCTATGCCCAAGCTTTGCTGATTTGACCTTCTGTCCTGTAGTGTGTAGATAGCCACAGTATAAGGAGAGCAAATATATACCACAATAGGCAGGAGCTTTGAAATTTTACTTAAAGCAATAGACTTTGGTGGAGTTTTTTTGAGAATTGCTGTTACAATTAAAGGAAGGAAAAGGGACTAGGGAGTTCTTGCTTTCTTAATTTCAAAGTAAATTTCTGCACAGCTGCAGTTCTAGATACAGCATCTTTGTAAAGAATGTTGTTGATACACATGTCCAAAAAATAGAATTAAAATAGTTATCATACAGGGAAAGCTATTTAGATTGGCCTAATTTATATTTTAGAATGGAACATTTCCTTTCATAATCATGGTCCTTTTGATGTTGAAATGCTTACTTTTTTTGTAAGGGGTTTTTTGTTTAATTTTTTTTTTCTTTACACCAACTACATCTTCTCTGCATTGTTTTCTAGAAATGGGAATCCCTTCATCAGTAGACCTTGTGAGCAGTGACCCAAGCCTCATGGTAGCATCATTTAACAGTGGACACACTAGCATTTTTAACATGGAGACACGGCAACGAATTCTTACCCTGGAGTCCAGTATGGATACTAGTATGTATCAAAAACCCCAAACCAACCAAAGGAAAAAAAAATGCTTTTTTAAGATTCATACTGTTGATAATCTTTTCAATGTTTCCAAAGAATCAGGCAGTGTCACGAGAAATTTTAAGATGGATTGTGTTACAAGCTGTGTTCTGAGATATAACAGTAAATTATTACTACTACAACAGACCTCGTGGGTATTGCAATAGCAGAAGAGTGTGCATACTTTTGAAATAAGATAGTAGAAACAAGCTCACACTCTGAATTCCTCTTCAAGGAATAGTAGTGAGAAAAAGCACAAGTTTCTTTACACAATACAGCTTTGTGATCTTTGCAGATTCAGTATATCCATTTTCTCTTCAGTCCAAAATTGCAGTATAGAGGCAATATCAGGAAAATTGAACATTAAATTTATTTAAAAATTTGGTATGTGTGTCAATTATTTTTTATTTTTCCTCAGAGGTATCCATCGTCTAAGCTTTATTGCTCTCTTGGCTCATTTGGACTTGGGTTTTAGTAGAAATTTTCGCTGTAGGAGGGAAGCAAAGCTCCAGTGAAAGAGCATTAATTCACAAGGTCCCATATAATGCCTTGGATCATGACAGTGACCAATATTAGAAGTTTTAGAGGATACTGTGAAGAGCCTACTATCAGTAAATTATTTTACCCTGACTTTGCGAAAGAGACCAGAATGAATTGAAGCATAAGGTTTCATATTCAGGCCACAATGGCAATACATTGAGTCTTTTGAAAGTTTGATACTTCTTCTCCCACCCTTAGGGTTTTATGTCACTGAATTCTACTATTTTATTATATTTTTTCAAAGGACTAAGCCATTCGTGTTGGCTTTGCTTGTATATTTTAAAATATTTAAATGCCTGTCATTTTATAAGAACAAATGTAAAGTGCCACATCTCTTCTTTAGGTTATTCCTTACTGTGCTGGATTTATTCTTTTAACCCACATTTTTGTTCCTTTCTAAAAGAACAGTTCTAAATTAGTTAACACAATTTAGTGGAAGCCACCTTTCTTCTTCCCTCCCCTTCTCCCTTCTATTTTTTTCACCTCCTCCTTGCTGTAATTCCATAATGTTCCTTTAGGAAAACAAGACCCTGGTATGGCAACCAGCAGTCCCTCTTTAGTATCTTTAGTTATGTAACAGTACTATAAAGCTTACATGTATTTTAAAGAAATAAATTATTATTTCTGCAAGAACTAGAGAAGAGGAAAATGTCACCTGAAATGCCCTAACAGACTACTTAGGGACTCTGGTGCTCCGTATAAGCCTCTGCTTGGCATTTTCCAGCTGTGGGGATGGCTGGCTGTGATGAAGATTCACGTGCTTTTAGTAATTTTAGGGGACTTTATTAATATGAATGTGGAGTTTTTTCCTTAATTTAGACTTTCATAATTTCTAAGTGTCCTGTGATGCTGACACTGCTTTATGGTTCAGATTTTTATAGAAAGGTGTAAAATGAGATCTTTACCATTTTAATAGCAAGTGAACCTTCAGTAGTATTCTGTTTTGCTTATTTTAGTAAGAATTTTGATTAAATGATGTGAATGTTCTTTGGAAGCAATTTAGCTAAATAGAATCAACATGAAACACAATGTCTATATTCTGATGTTCTGTGTAATGACTGTGGGTTTTGTCATAATCTATGCCTCTTAAGACCTCTCTTGCATTAATGTGTGCATCACAGGAATGCCTGGATTTCTAACCAGAAAATTCCAATATTTTTTTCTCTCTATCTATATATATTTTTTCTATGTATCTATATATATGCATACTATTTCAGAATTACTGAAGGCAAGGAAATTTGCTCTCCTATGAATAGTCTAGCATCTTTTTTTTTAATAATAATTTCAATACATATGTATCAGATAATAAGAGGTAGATTTTGTTTGCTTCAAACATACTGCCTGCAGTGTTTATTTTCCTATCCTGTATATTATGAAGAAAGTTTGACTTGGCAAGAGGAGGAATGTGTGTGAATGAGGTGTTTTCACTCAGTTTTTGGTTTCACTTGTTTGCGTGATGTGCCTATATAAAACCATGTCCAAAAGCTGGACTTTATTTGGCATACATTTGTTTTATGTATGTCTCTGTCCTGTGTAGTTTGGAAAGTATTTTAGAGAAAAGTGCATAACATAATACTAACTGAGAGTTTCCAGGATATATATGTAAGAAGTATTTTGCACATTAGATTGATTGCATATTTATTTCTTGGTAGCAATCTTTCAAAGAACTTAGCAATTTACATAGACTGATGTGTGTTGGTTTTTTCTTAGCAGTCAGTTCTTCCTGTCAGATAAACAGAGTCATCAGCCATCCAACTCTTCCAATTAGTATCACTGCTCATGAAGACAGACACATCAAATTCTACGACAACAATACAGGTATGCATCTTTCCAGCAGGTCTTAGTCATAGCCATTGTATAATATAAATCATATTCCCAATTTTGCTATGATCAATATTATTCACACAAATGCTGAGGGATGTCAAGAATTGGATAGCCTCTGAAGCAGAAATCTCTCATCACCAACAGAGTCTAAAGATTGCCAGCCCACTTAAAGCTTTGTTGGCAAAGTGATAAGGAGCTTGCATCTCTCTCTCCATTCTTTTAGAATGCCCTGTGTATGGGGTTTATAAATATTTAACATAAAAGGTATTTTTTTCAAAATCTCCATGTTCTTATGTTTATGTTTCTTCTATTAGTTGTCTGTATTATTTTGCTCTAGAGAGCAGGAACCTCTGGCTCTCCTTTAGACCTAGACCTCTGCCACATTTGACCCGTGATTTCTTATTTTTAACATGAAATTCTTGCTGTAATTATAATAAGCTGTGATAAAACATTAATTCTCGCTGAGACATCTAACATTATTCCCTGTTCCTGTGTAGTTTATATTCATTTTAGTATGCTCAGCCCCTGCCTTCCTTCCCATTCAAGATCTTACCTGAGAGCTCGAGAATTACCTGAGAATTACTTAATTCGCTTAAGGGGCGGATATTTAAAATGCACAGTGATTGTAGTGTCAAGGTGGCTTAAAGCAAAGGTCTCAAACATTGACGATACTGCTTCTGTGCTTACCTTGGGAACTGTTGACATTAAAATGCTGGCTTCTTGTATAGTTTTAGTGATTCAGTCATGGGACAAGATCTTGTGTTTGTATCAGCTGTAGTAGGGTCATAAGCAGTGAATACAGATAATAAAGTTAACTGCAGAAAATAACCTAAATAAATCTTTTCTTTTAAAGGAAAACTGATCCACTCTATGGTAGCTCACTTAGATGCAGTTACAAGTTTAGCTGTTGATCCTAATGGCTTGTATTTGATGTCTGGCAGTAAGTACATTCAGATTTCATTTTCTTTTTCTCATAATGGTGGCAGGCATGTAAATTATAAAGAAAACTGTTTTCCCTTTCTCTAGGCCACGACTGCTCGATTCGCTTGTGGAATCTTGAAAGCAAGACCTGCATCCAAGAATTTACTGCTCATCGCAAAAAATTTGATGAGTCCATTCATGATGTGGCATTCCACCCATCCAAATGTTATATTGCCAGTGCAGGAGCAGATGCCCTGGCTAAAGTGTTTGTATGACGGAGTGCTTCCCATTCAACTTTAGCTTTGTATATATTTAACCAGCTGCACAAAAGAGAAGAGGAGGGCATGAGTTGTTTTATCTTGCCCTGTAATTCAGAGAATGTTTGTAAGTGTTTAGTTTTGCAGGGTGCTGTTTTCTAAATTGACGTTTGTTCTGGTTTCTGTGAGCTCAGCTGGTGCTGAGAGCTTGGAATCTCTCAGTTTCAAATAGGTGAAAAAAAAAAAAAAAAGAAAAAAAAAAGCTTTTATTTAGAGGGTGTGAATTTTCGTCCAGGCAGGCCTTGGGTGAAACTAGGTCTACGTATTCTCTATTAATAAAATGGAGTACTGGAAAGAAGGGGTCTAATTGCATCAGGGAGTAGGAAAAGAGGGAAACTTCCTTGGATATGCTTCTCATTCTCAAATCACCTGGAAAAAGTGATTCAAAGTCAGTTCACATGCTCATTACTGTATCATGTGAGAGGCACTTTGTCATCCCTTTGGTATGAATAAAGTAGATCTTGTTCAGAGAGCAGTAGTGGATAGTTAATCTCAGCCACCTGGCTGCTAGCCTAAGATAAATGCAATTAAAGGAAGGCAAATTACTAACATAAATTCAAATGCAGTAATATTTCTGTTACATCTTCTGTGTTTCTCAGTAAATATTTAGTTTGCAAAAAAATTTATATAATTTTTTTTTTAGACTGTATTAGCATGTGGCTAGAAACTGAGCCTTTAGTCTAAATCCCAATTAACAACAGACTGACGCAGTCTGTATATACTGTAGTAGCAAATTTAACTTATTCAGATTTTAATGCTGTTTATTCTTGGAGATCTGGCACAAGAAATTATCACAAAGCTTTCCAAAGAAGCTGTCCTACAATTTTAGCTGTCAAACATTCATCTCCTCTTTCTGTTCCTGCTAAAAAGGGTATCTATTCTGGGCATTAAGGATAACAGTGAAATACTTCATTTGAAGATTAAATCTGATGCTTTGTATGAGTCCTTTTAGTGGAATAGGTGGGAACTATACAAAGCTCCATCACTTTGAGAGATTCTGCTACTGTTAGAGATATTTCCCAGCTGCACCATTTGAGGGACTTGTCCATTTCACCAGGCGTATGTGCCATTGATTGGGTTACCTGAAGAATGAGTGATTCTTGTAATTACTCAACAGATGTGCTTTGTTTATCTATTCAGAGCTTCTCTGTTGTTTTGACAAATAACTTTTAATCCAATCTATTATTCCTTTTATCCCTTCTTAAAGGAAGGCGAGTTGTTTCTTCTCTGTTATGTGTCGTCATCAGAATTATTACTATTCATAGGCACGAAGTTGGTGTTTTTGTCTGATGGGAATGGAAAGCAGAATTTCTGCTGGAGTTGATTTCTGGCGCTGATATGAGTAGGAAAGAACCCAGTGCAGCTCTCCATATACCAGCCTGAGATTAAGACTGGAAACTGATAAATAAATCTTTACCTTTAAACTGACACTTGGTAAGCAGGACTCATTGAAAGTTATCAACATAAGGTTTGACTATGTTGTTTTTAGAGTGCCATTTGGGGATGGGACCACATCTGAAGTTGATCTCAGAGTTTAAACTAAGTATATTATTTAGAATAAAAGGTTGACCTGTGCTGTTTGATCCTGCAACACATTATATGTACTGCTAAAATATCCTGGAATACCTTTTATTGCTCAGAATATTCACATGTCACTTCATGATAGTTGGTATGCAATATATTTCCTTAGATAATATTAGAACGTTTACCATGAAACAGATGACTACAATAATAATAATACAGATGATTTAGTTTTTATAAATTTTTTTGGTTATGATGAAAAGGAGGAAACTTGGCTGCAAAACTGAGCATTCAACTTTGTGAGAGTTCTGTGTACTTGACTCATATTCTTTCAGTGTCATTATTTTATTTCTTTTTGAAGAGAAAATTACAAAGATTTATTTGAAAAATTCTAAAAGTTATGTATATTCTATATGTGTATATATATTGTAAACATGTATTAAATGTGTCTAGTAAGGGAAGACTCCATGGGTGCATTTTAATGTTTTAGTGTTAAGAGTTCTTTTGAGTTTGTGTATACAAAGGATGATGGTTGTGAGTATGAAATGAATGTTGTGCTTTTGCTTACACAATACAGTATGTAGTCACAGTTGTTTAAATTGCTGTACATAAAAACTAATAGGCCAGCATGCTTGTTTTTAAAGACTGTCATTCTGATTACAATTGGAATGTAAGAAGTGGCTGTTCAAATGTGAATTGAAAGATGTTTCCTTCTCACTACTGAGCTCTTGCTCAAACCGAAAAGTGATTTTTTTAAAAGCTGGCAATAGCTAGAGGATGAGGTGCCTTTAAAAAACAAAACAAAACAAATGTAGCCTTACAAAGAGGTTGTGGAATATATATATTTTTGTGCTTGTCTTCATAATTGATGTCAATGTCTTTTTACTGTACTTGCTCACATACTTGTAGGACTGCAGGGTATTGTGCATGAGCCTGTCAGATCTTCTGAACATCATCATAGGAGATAGGGTTGAAAAAATTATTTAGGTTATCTAGTCCATCTGCTTGCTAAAGCAGGGTTGTAGACTTGTGTGTTCTAATATTGTCTTGGCCAGTGAGATTTTATATGTTCTAAAACAATTAGGCTTCCTTTCAAAGATTATTTCAAGGAATGCATCTCACTGGCAGGAGGATTTATTTGGTATTTAGTAGCTCTTTTCTGTAACTTCATGCCAGTATTCCAAGCCATGTTTTGTGCCATTTTACATATTCTTCATAGTCTTTGTAATTTGGAACCTGCATGCACACACTGGTTCCACATGTATATTTTCATTCCTTTCTGCCTTCTTCAAGCTATTTTTTTAGTCTGCTTTTTTTGCACATTTCCTTGTTTTCATTCTTTAAGCTCAATTCTTCAAATATCAGTGTCCATACCACCATTCCACATGCATGATTTGTTGGACTTAGTCTGAGGGTTGTCCTAAGTGTTATTTGGTTGGGTTTATCCTCTGTAATGCAATGCTTTTGTGTAGGAAGACCAAGCTTTTGATGTCTGACGAACTTAAATCGTATTTCTTTATGACAACTCCTTTAAATAACATTTGAGCATTGCTGCTTTTCAAATTTCTTCTACACTTTTAGTATGTTACGATTCTTTTGCAGCTAGAGACTTAAATCCTGTTTCATGATTATCCTGGGTCTTACTTTGAACTTCTGACCTCTGAAGGCACTAAATTATTTTTATTTGTTCCCCTTTTATGTGCAGTTCTTCTTGGTTCAGTGTAATTAGTAACTTTCATTAGTGTGATACATATGTTTACTGAAAGTGTAAACAAAACTGAACCCAAAGCTTATTCTTGGAAAAAACCCATTTTTCTGCAATATCAGTATATAGCATTTTACCGTTTCTATTTTTCCTGTATCTAATTTATATGGTAATTTTTTAATGGTTAGCTCATATAATTTTTTTGTGTATGTTAGCCTGTGCTAATGATTTTGATTTTACTAACTAATTTAATGGGATAATTTTCAGTCCTTCTGTATGTTGAAAGTTTGTCCACTAGGTTTAAATACCCACTTTTAATTTACTTCACTGGACTGTTTGCTGTCACGTATTTGATTCACTTACCAAAATGCTTGCACAGAATGATTCGGAGTAGCTTGGAAGAAGTTCTAGATATATTGTGTTAGTCTTAGAAAATCCTAGTGTCTGCATTTATTTTTGGGCCTAAGAGAGAAAACTTCCACATAAAAGATTCATTGCTTTCATCTCATTCATCTTTATTTTGATAAAATATGTTCTTTAGAAAGAAGGCTGTAGAACCATAGGCCATATACTGTAGGCTTATTTTTTAGGACATGTATTTTCAAATAATTTTATGTTAAAGCAGTCCCATGTAATTTGGGTGCAAGCTTGGTAAGTGTGTGGTGTTCACCATACAACTTTGTGATTAGGTCATAGAACACTGTTTTTCAGTTGTGAATTTAAACTAACCAGAGACTTGTTCTTTTGAATAAATGTGTGAGAGATAAAGAACTTAGTTACACCACATTTTCGGTACATTTGTTGGATCACAGATGTGTCCTCTTCCCCTGCCTCCTTAGGTTTTAACAGTGTAATTTTGGGGAACAGCAGTTTCTGTAAATTCTGAAATGTAATTTCTCATGTGTTCTTTGAGCAGTGTTCAATGGGCAGAAGTGTGGAAACAAACAGTTGAAAAGCAGGCATAGCTATCAGATAATCAAGTAATTAATGCCTTTCCAGATGTGTATTTGGAAACATTTGCAGGCTGTGGCTTGGCAGTGTGTTTACAGACTGCACCAGGTATCCAAGAGCTTACTTGGGGCCTGTGGAAATACCTAGTCAACCTGAGTTGCATTAAGGAAGAAAATGCAGCCATTGTGGTTGTCCTATGCTAAAATTTGCGGCTGTTTAGTGGAAGTTGGTTTGGACTACACTGTTAGAAATCAGAATACGATAACCTCTTCCATGCTGTTAATTGGTTTGTATAAAATGTGGCAATCTTTGACATGGCAATATGAGTTTTCTTGGGCAGCTGCTGTTCATGAGCATCATAGAGATGCTTGGCATAGTTGTTAGTATTGAGTGACTGAGAGGATGAAAAGATTTCCCTAAAAAAATGCTCAGATGTTTCAGGAAGCTCCCTTTTTTCCATAAAGGCATGAAGGTGTTGAGAATATTTCATCTAAATCTGATAACGTGTTTAGTTGAAGAGAGCTACAATAGGTGAACAGTTTTGACTCTTTCATCATCAGTGTCTTTAAGCTTAGAGACAAACAGAGTTATGGAATCTATTTGCCTGTAAACTACCACTGAAAGCCTCTGTCATGTTCCTGCTGAGCAGCAGAGAAACTGATGGACAGCAGTGTTGATCCATGCAGTTGTGTCAGGGGTGTTTTACAAAAAAACAACCCCTATTGTAAAAGATAGTGTTAACTACAGCAGAGCAAATGAACAAACTCCTGGGAGAGGGAGGAGTGGAGAAGGACTAGGATGACTCTTGTGTAAATAGTCCTTTTTTGGGCACATGGTCTTGTTTAGCTGGTGGGAATGTTCCCAGGAGGGAGAATGATTGGCAATGTGACCTTTAAAAAAATGTCTGTGCCTGTGCTAATGAACATACCTGTGCAGGTTATCTGTTCTTTTGGTATGTGCTTTTTACCTTCCCACTTAAATTTTCCTTTAGGATATGTTTTCTGAGAGTCTTAAAATCTCATCTGCAATGACCTCTTACTGCAGGATAAATTTCATAAAGGATTCCTGATTTTCCTCTTGAAGTGTTTTTTTTGAAGGGTGGTAGAGTTTCAGCTTCAGCTCCACCCCTCTCACCACCAAAAGGCTGATTTGTACCACCTTACACCCAGTTCATTTAATTCTAGTGTGTTATCTCTTAGCCTGCCTTCTGACTTGGTTTTGCTGCTCTATAGTTCAGTTGTGAAAGCCTATGAATTGCTATATCATTTAAGATATTTCTGAGAATCTGGATTCCGCTACAGAAGGCATAAATCCAGTTGAATAGTATAACGTGTGGATCTCGTCTGGTTTGTTGTCCGAAGAGACTTGTTAGATTACGAAATCCAAACTATGGCTGAGCTAAAAAGGCATTTAATAATAATATATTCTTCTTAGCCCAACTTCTTCCTGCTTAAGTATACATTGTGGTATTGTGTCTTAGACTGATTTTGCCCAGCTCATACTGCCAAGCCATGCTGTGATCCTGGGAGATCACACCAGTATTTAAACCATGCCCCGTGCATGTGTTTCTAAGCTGCTCAAAGCCTTGTGTTGACATGGTCCTCCAGGCCAGTCTTCTTTGAGTCTCTCAAGTTTGAATTGCAGGCTCCCAAAATTACTTTCTGGCTATTTTGAGTAACCCTTGGTCCTCACACCAGAGTATTAGACTGTGGTGTTGAGAAAAGATTTATATATCAGGATTTGTACTATTATGAAAGGGAAAGGATAACTTACTGCCAAGCCAAATATTGTCATTATTTTTCGATTACTTGTGAAAAGCAGCCAAAAACATTGTATAAGGGATAAATTACGGACTTCAAGCTAATATTTTTCCATTAAGAATTTATTTTTTTACGCTTCCTGTCATCAAGATACAGTGCTTTCGAGTGTAGCTTGTTTTCAGATGTATGGCTCCTATAATTGTTTCCTTGCAGTTGGACATTTGCAATTGTGCATCAGTTTTGAAAACTGTCTCATATGTGTTAGCACTTCTTTTGGAAATGCAACCTGAGCATGTTAACTAATGATTTCTGGTACCATTATAGTCTAAGCAGACTGAAAAGCAGTTTTGTGCTATGTTTTCCTTGAATAGTGCATCTGAAAAAACTTGTAGAAGGAACTCCCATGATGAGATGACTTTTGTTGCTGTAAGGTTCTCTGTTGACATTTGTCAGTTTTGCATTGTATTTTGCATTATTATCTTCAGTTGACTGCCAGGTTAAAAAAAGACAAATTTCTTTGCCATATGGACTATAGCTTGGATTTTTTTTGTCGTTTTTGCTTATATTAATACACTTTCTTATTTTCTACTAGAATTTAGTGATACCTGGCAGCTCTCTTTAGGAGAAGTTACTACAGGTGATAACCACTAACACGTTAGTAATTACAGTGGCTTCCCTTCTGTTTTGGGTCACTTCCATGGCAGATTGTTGATATGAAAAGGCTACTGTGGCTGATATGTGAACAGCTAAAGGATATTAAGATTCCCCTTCAGAACTATCCTGAGGTTATGATTTTATACACCAGTTTTGAATGACTACTTTGAAACAATGTTGGGCTTAAGTGTTTTGCAGAATTTTGGATCCAAATGAGAAATACCTATTTGTTAAGTAATAGTCTGCTTGTCAATTTTTTGTGTATGGCTCAGTACGAGGCTGTCAGAATTGCAGTACCACCAAAATTACCTTGTTTAAATGCAACTGTTGTACAAAAGTGAATGTTACTTTGAGTGAGAAATTCTGTTTTCTAATTTATGAAGGAAATATTTTTCTTGGAGTAAGCATCCATAAATGTAATATATTTCATGATTTTGAAAAGGCTTATTAATCATGGGACGTGAGAAAAATGAAAGTGATTCATTCTCCAAAGATTTGTTAAGTGTTTATTATTACAAGTATAAATTTTTGCTTTAAATGGAAATGCTTCTTCAAAAATTTAGTATTAAACTTCTTACTAAAACTCAGTAGTTTAAAACGCTGGATAAATATCTAAAATGGCAAAGATAGAAAATTCAGAGGGAGATTATTTTGAAATATGCCAGTGTCATTTTGAGCTTCTCAAGTGTAGCCCTGAATTTTCTCTTTTTCACTGCAATTCATATTTTGTGAAACTTCTTGGATAGGTTATATTTAAAGCTACATTCACTTGCCTGAATAAGTCAAATAAATATTTTGTCATTTAAAATTATATAGATCTGCTTATGTTAGTGTGCCATTTAAAATGAGACCCCATTGAGGTAACCATGCAGGTATTTGTGTTGGTATGACAGTAGTGAAGTGGGGTATCTGTGTACTGTCCCCGCATTCTGTGCTGAGCAAAATCACACGGACTTCCAGAAATAAGCAATGGTTTTTAAGAGCAGCTTTATTTAATGTTGCAGCAGCAAGTGTCATTTGTACCATATAATTATGTAAATTGGGTGCTAATAAATACTATTTTTCAACATTTTGCATTGTGTTCATAATTCTGCATTTTATCACAAGATATGTGTGGTTTTGGAGTGAGTACTAAGAGGGGAAGTGCATTAGGAGTAAGACAAGCAGACTTGGAGGGGTTTGAGGTAACTCCATGTGAAATTCCTACTGAACTGTGCAGCGTGTTACTGTTCACAGGAGTACCTTGGTTTTTCTGTTCTCCTTATGTCTTGGTTTCGTACTGCTGCTCCAGCTTGGCTCTGTTGACACCCCACATCCTTCCATGTGCTGAGGCACGTGGTGCCTGTGTGGGGGTGAGTGTGGGGTGAGCAGACATGCGGAGTGGGTGCGGTTGTGCAGGAGCTGGTCTGTCAGCAGGCGTTGTTCACAACCAGACACGTGGCCATTCCCGAGGACAGCGTTCATTCAACATAAAAATAAATGTGGTTCTGCCCTTAGGGAGAGGATGAGGGAGAGCAAACCACACATCACAGATGGCGGCTGCGTTGCTACAGGAAGGTGCTCAGAACGGCACTGTGAGGGGGTGGCAGGAGAACCTACACAGAACTGAGGAGAACAAGTTGTTGTCAGTGAGCCCATCCTGTTTTTTCTGAGCTTGTAGGTGGGATAAGCGAAGTTCTTATCTTTTCTTGGTGGGTATAAAATAGCCTGATTGGTCCTACTCATCTTCCTGCCTCATAGGAAAGGAGGAATTGCTTTATGAATTGACAGTACAATCTCATTCACCCCTGTGTGAATGCTTCTAGAAGATTCCTGAGGTAGGGGGAAAAAGGAGATTTAGTGAATAACATATGAGTGACCCTCACATGAGGGAGGACTTCTTAACATGCTTGTGGGTTTGCCTATGAACAAGATGGCCCCATGATGATTTGCATGTGAGAAAAGTGAGTATACTTGGTGATACAGTGGAACTTCTACAATTTCTTGTGCTTAAAAAGAGTTAGTTTCTACGACTGATGGAATTCTTGAACTGCACTATCAGAGTTCTCATTAGAAGTCAAAGGAGGGGTTAAACTGGTGTTAAGAAAAATAACGTGTTCCTTGCCATTCAGTAAGACTGACACAGTTGATTGTGAGCAGTGTTGCTGATGCAGTGCTAAAACCTTCATCCTCCTCCTCCCCCAGTTTAACAAGGAAAATTGATTATTTTGAGGAATTTGAAGCATTCAGCTGCATAGATATACATTTGTAATGTTTTCAATATGTAGGTGATTTAGCAAATGTAAATGGCCTGATACTGTCTAAGATATCTCAAAATGAGATGGTAATGGAAAAGGGATCAAGTTGTTTCTGTAATGTTGCTCATGGACAGAGAAAAATAGCTAGCAGAATGATAGTGGCTTTGTTCAACCATGAAGTAATTTAAGGTGTGTATACCATAGAAAAGTGACTTAAATTTGGTGTCTAGGTGATAATTCTGATACTACCTACTGCTTGCTTTGACTTTCTAAGTAGATAACATGGATAATTTCCTGTGTGATTACAGATAGGATGTAAAATTACTAAATATGTTTAGATTGGGTTGATCCTGGCAGGATGCTTAACTCCAGAGCTTTTCCTGATTACTGGTATGGCTCCCCCTGTGTGCTGGAGAGCCATGGGGGAAGGAGTGTGAGGAGGAAAGGGAAGCTTGTCTGACCACATGTCAGTAGCAGCCATGGCAAAACTCCTCTTGCTGAACCAGCAACGCAGCAGCAGCAGCAGCAGAGGAGCAGGAGGTGCACACTGCGGGTGATGCCATCTGTGCAGGGTGGCACAGTGACAGCAGAAATGCCGAGTGTCCTGCTCTGGGGAAATACGACTTTGGGTTACTTCTCTCTGAAGCAATGGCTGAACTCTTAATTGAATTTGGTGGCTCACCGAAAATGTGAGTGACTAATGCTGGAGTTGGCAAGCGACACTGAAACTGAGCTCTGCCAAGGCTTCCAGAGCATGGACATCAGTAGGTATTTCCAGGTGGGTGTTCTGCATTGTAATTGCTGAGCACTGATAAGCCACCAGCCCAACTCTGAGTGCAAAGATGCTTATCTCTTAGGGAGAGGGTGATCAGACAACACCCTCTAGAATGTGTATGCAGTGACTAGTTCAGACAGCTCCCATCTCTTCTCTTGGGGATGCTCTGCCAGACAGCAGGTTCCACTGCACTGGTCAGACATCTGAAACTAGAGTGGCCCAGCATCAAGTGACTGGACATCTAGATCCACTTTTGATGCAGTCCCACATATAGAAAGTGCTTGGAGCCTGTGTTATTTTTTTTTCAGCTTCCAAAGGAAGTCTGGTTCCAAATAAGACATGATCTTGCAAACCTTAGAAAGTACATGTAATTTTGATGCCCCTCAGTCATTAGGCTCTGCTTCAGCTGACTGATTCCTCTGACAGGTAATTTTGTGGTAAATTCACTCTAAGAATCTTTTTCATCTGAGCATGTAAAAGGACAACACTGAAGCACGCAGGGCTTGGCCGGCAGACTTGCTGAGTCTTCCATAATGTAGTAATAACCTCAGCTGTGTTTCAGAAACTTAAAATGCCATGGGCTGCCTTTGCTGTTTATCTTTTAACCCCATATGAGATGACATGTACTGCATGTGCCTTTAGGACAATTTTATTGCAAAAGATATAGCAACTTATGTTGATAAGTTCAAAATAGCTTGTATATGCTACAGAAGGAGTTCTGCTGCTTTCTTCAAACAAATATACCCCTTTGAACATTTATATATATATAAGGTATATATATATCCTGGGGTTTTTTTTAATAAAACAGTATTTAGAGACTTTAGTAGGTGGCAAGTGATTTGATTGCTATGAAAGGTAAGAGTGGAGAGGAGTGTGTTCTGTGATTTCATGGAAGGGAGTATTCAAAATTTTGAGGCTTCTGCTTAAGTTTATGGTGTTTATTAATAGGACATCTAAGTTTAGATGATAGTTGGATTAAACCACTTTCACAGTTTGAGTTTTGACAATTTCAGGATCATCCCAACAAGTAAATAAAAATGCACATTGAGAAACAAGCACTATAGTTGTTGTTCAGTATACTTAAGAGAAGCCATTGTTGTATTTTTGTATAGTTGTTCAGTAAACTTAAGAGAAACCATTTGAACAACAACAAACCCTGAAGTGCCCTTTATAAGGACTTGACAAAAGATAACTGTGCAAGTTTCCTGTGAAAAAGCATTTGAAAGCTTAATGTCATTGCTTGAAGTTTAAGCTTTAGGAAAAACTTACATCCCTTATGCGCATCCTAAAGAACATGTGTGCTCTAGCTGTTCCTCAAGTGTTGGCCATCACTGCTGTGCTTTCGGCAGAGCACAAGTGAAGCAGTGGGGAGTCTCTGCAGGGTACCAGTCTTTGGTGCTGCAAGAGTACATTCAGGATGGAGAACAATATGTGGTGGTGAGCTGATGCATTCAAAATTAAACCACAGTATTAAAGAATAACTGTAATTATTAATTATTAATAGAGTTTATGCCTTTTTCTCGGGCAGCCCCAAACCAAGCCCCAAACAAACAGGTTTTCAGACAATAAATCTGGTGTCTGAAACGAAGTACCCGGTAAATTCAGCTTGAGTTTTGTCCAGTCCATGTAATGTCCCTTGTTGACAGAGAAATCTGTGTTCAGCAGAAAGGTAGTGAGGAGCTGGGTCAGGAGATGGGGGATATCAGGAGTTGCTCTGCTTATGCCTAACTCTCTATCCTTAATCATTTTTTCAAGCCAGAAGTTATTGCTGTGAAGTGCAGCAGCACAGATTAGTGGTAAAAACTCTGCATACAGATATATTTGTGGAAGCTGACAGTGTCCTGTGCTTTCAGTCTGGGTAGAGTGGTTGAATTGATGGTACTCAGTTAAAGCTGAAATTTAATGTTTCTTCTAAGAGGAAGCGATAAACTTTCACTGTGTAAAACCACTGTTTTGTCCAAAATTGGTTTTGATAACCTCTTGAGAGGACCCCAGCCTGGCTTATGTTACCCCACCGGGGGGATCATGCAGAATCTTCTGTTTTCATTAATGTGCATGTAATATGCTTACTTAGTTGTCAGGTTATGAGCTACTTCAGTCATATTTCAAAACATAACGATTTAAAAATTTGTGCTGCTTTGCTGATAAAATGAATTTCCCTTATGGCAATTCAATTAGAATTTATGTGGCTAATAAATATCTTGGCTCATGGTTATTAAGACTATAAATGCTGTTAAGAGCCTGATTTGCAGGAAAATATGGCCAATCTGAGTTTTAATTTCTTTCCATTTCCTGTTAGTTCCACAAGCCATGGCACAGCATGACTTTGATTGCCCTAAGGAGTGTGAACTCATGTTTTTATTGGCTCCTTTGATAGTTTCGCTTAATGAATTTTAAGGACTATTTTCTTAAATGATACTGGATGGAACATAACCAGAAACTGCTGCTTCCTAAATAAAGTGCAGTTAGTTTGGTCCTCCTAGTGTGTCCTTCCTCCAGACTGACTAGTGACATGGGTCGTTCTCCACTTAAGGAACCACTGTTTGTTCTGACTGATCCAGGGCTGTAATAGGTACATTTTGAAGTCGGTCCATAGAAGAGAATTCAGTCCTAAATTTGAGGGAGAGTGTCTGTAAATGCTTGAAATTCTGCTTTTCCCAGTGTATAATACAGAACTTCAGATAATTCCCTCATAAATCCTGTTAATGGCTCTTGAAATGCTCTCCTGACACTAGAAACTGCACTTCAGAGTGTTGGTTTAATGACAGAGTGGTGGGTCTTAAATGCTTTTCATATTGTGAGCAACTTAAACCCAAATTCTCTCAGTCTCCTGTGTCCTGGCAATACACCTGTGGTCCTGCAGGCCTTGAACCATCCAAGAGTGAAGGACGAAGCTGAGGGGGAAAGACACTTCTCAAAATCAAGTAATTAAGGCAGTGTTGTGGGAGACTAGATTCCAGTTCCTGCATGTTGGCTGCTGTGTGGATTTGAGGCTTTATTGGGGATGTAGGGTTGTAAAAGAAACAAAGGGTTGTAGGGTCCTGGGGCTTGAACCTTTCCTCTCTCTTGCTTTCCAGTTTCTCAGGGTTTGGATAAATCCCAATGCTTGAGTTGACAATAACTGAAGCTTAACTTACAGCAGTATGGAGAGAGTACCTGCTTTTAGGAAGGTAGTCCAATTAAATTGTGTTCCCCCTGCAAAAGAAGCATCTGATATTTGAGCCCTGATCTGTGTGTCATCTCTTGGGCAGTGCCACATGAGGTGGTTCTACCACAGCAGCTCAGCAGCTTGGCCACTTCCTGAAGGGACCTGGTGACTTCAGGGAGCAGATGGCACGTTTGGACATGTGGTGTGTGTCCAGAGGTGAGGTTTGAGCAAGCTGGGGCTCTATGCTGGAAGCAGCTCTTCAAACAGCTGCAGTTATTTTCTCCATGTTTACTCCCTCCTCAGCTTTCTGTCTAAATCAGTTTCTGATGCCCACAAGGAGAAAATAAAAAAATCATGCATAGGGGCAGAGCTGCAATGAACCTTGCTGACTGGGAAGTCCCAGAGGGAAACACCTCCAGTGTTTCTTGAACTGAGGACTGGCATTATTTCTGTGGCACTTGACATGCCTTCAGCACAGCATCCAAGGGTCCTGCCTTGCTTGAGTCCATCAGTTCCGTGGCTGGGAATTAAACTCTGTGCAAATATTTTGAATGAGCTGATTAACGTAGCGGTAGAGGTTGTCAAATTCATCCACAAAGAAGGAATGCTCCTTAGCAGGGTCTGATGCAATGGCTTCCAGTTCATCTGGGGCTGCCCAAGCAACTCCAATGGAATAAGCGATGACTCCTGGAAAGAAACCCAAGGTTTAGAAAAAGCATAAAAGTTTTCTTTGCAGTAAATCTATTTTACAACCAATACTGCAAATATAGTTTCTAGGCCACAGAAAAATGGGCAGTGAGTTTCTGTGCTCTATGTATAAAATGGGTGTTTTCAAACTGGAAGAAAGTTCTAGCTTGTGCTTTGGAAGTACCTTTTGCCAACAGCAAAAAGGTTTAAACACTAGTGAAGCCTTAGCTTTGGGTCTAAACAACGGATCCAAAACCAGGATCTTGAGCAACAGGATATTGTCCAAGGGCAAATGGGTTGGAAGATATATACTATCTTGACTAGAAAGCCAAAGGAGTCCTGTGTTACTAAGACAGCAAAAATCCCTTGAGATCTCCTAGACATAGTTGAATTTGTGATGATTTCTAATTTTTTTTTTTCCTGAAGTTCCTTATTCAGATGCTGATCTTGTTGGAGCTCAGTGGGACCCCAGGGAAAAGTACTAGTATTCCTTCACAAGGTGTAGGAAGATTCAAATTACAGCAAACTGCATTTATCTGACCTGCATAAGTGCTGAGGCATGAGAGGAGAGCAGGCAGTGATAGAAGACCTTACCATTTTGGTGAGCTGCCATGGCTGGCAAGCTGACATCATCGTAAGACCTGCCATCTGTGATGAGAATCATGATCTTCCTTTTGTTGGGTTTGGACTTGCTGAACAGCTGCTCTGAGGCGTAGCTGATGGCTGCCCCCGTGCTGGTGCCCCCACTCCAGTAGCTGATCCTTTTGATAGCGTTCAGCACGTCCTGCTTCGTGCTGTACTTGTCAAAGCTGAACTCCAGCCTCTGCTCGTAGGTGTACTGCACAGCTCCGATGCGCGTGTCGGTGTCCGAAATCTCAAACTCCTTGCTGATGTTGGCCACAAACTGGAGAACCGTGCGGAAGTTGCCGGTGCCGACGCTGCTGGAGCCATCGATCACGAAGCCGATGTCGGCGGCGTTGAGGCACGTCTTGCTGCAAGCCAGCCGGTCGGTGTCGCACACCCGCTTCACCAAGGGCTGCACCACCTTGTGGAGGCTGAACCAGCTGGGCACGTTGATGGAATAGAAACCACTTGTCCTGCACACTGCCTGCGAGGCAACACGAGGATAAGCGCAATGGAAATTCAGTTTGCCTGTTTCTGCTGGGGTATGTAGCTAAATTGTAAATATAGGCTCCTGGAAAGAGCAGTGCTGGAGTCTGAAATGGCCTCTCCTGCAATCACCATCTGCTTCCCTGGGAAATGATGTCAGTGTAACATCACGGATACTTGTGTAATGTGACAGCTTTTCCTGCCTTTTTTTAAAACTGTGGGATGGAGCTGATATTTTAGTAGCGAAAGAACTCTAATAAGCAAGTTTTCCCCCCACCGGGCTTTTTTACACGAGTTACATTGTTCATGGGAAAAGCATCCACGTCACAGAGCTGCTATTAGCGTGGCTCCAATGGACATTACAGGAGCCCGTGTGTTTGCCTGCTAGCAACTTCAGCTCCCATCATTCAGGAAAAGAAGGAAAGTCTTGCCTGCTGACAGACCCTGCTACTTTCTACTTTGAAGTGAAAGCTCAGGCTTAAGCTGGGGATAACTTGGGTCATACCCTTCTAAGCCAAGAAAACCCAGGCTCATTGTGTTGGCTCTGCCAAATAGTAAAAAAACAACAAAAAAAACCCCATTAACTTTTATAAGTAAATACTCATTAGGGCCAGATCTGTGTGAGGCTTCTATTATCTGTGTATATATATATATATCTGAATATAGAATATTCTGTATTCTGTATCATTAGGGCCATATCTGTGGGAGTCAGGTGAGCATGGGTAGGAAGAAGAGCTGGCACAGAAGAGGATGTGGGAGAAGTCAAGGGATGGCAGGGGAGAAGGGTGGCTGGGGCAAGGAGGGGAGTGATGCAAACAGGCTGGATCAAATTGTCTTTGGCTTTAGTGCCTTTTAAATGCCAATTCCTGAGCTCTCTGGGTGAGAATATTTTGTTAAGCCAGGCTTTATCTATCAGCTTTGTGATGGTGTGTGTATCTGACTGTTTTAAGAGACCAAGGCACTGGTCTTGACTTGCATAAAGCCTAACAGCTCTGAAGGAATTACAGTTCCCTCCAGTCTGGACTCCTTATGGTATCCTGCTCTCATTTGCTCTTAGAGTCTCGCTTCTATTTTAGTGTTATGATGCAGCAGGATCATGCCACCATTCCCTCCTTACCTTCCTGTTCTGAGCCCACTCTACTCTCACTTCTGCTGTGTCCCTGGCAGGTTTGCAGAGATTCACTGTAGCTTTGTTCTTTTAAAAACATTAAATGCAAATGAGGCGACAATCCAATTACACGCTGACCAGAGACAGTGCAGCTCTTCTGAAACTCATGGGAGATTATTTCATGGCAGAGCAACCCAGCTCAGATGGGAATCTGTTTTCTGAAAATGCCAGATGACTCCACCCTGTTTCCTAGGCCCAGCCTGGTCTGCCACTTGGTAGGTATCTCCTGCCCAAACTGGGTACCAGCTTGTCCTGAAGCACTTTTGATCAGACAGCTAGTGTTACTGCCAAATATGAATCAATCAAAGCTTGCATTCTCCTTTTTTTTCTGTACATGGCAGGGATTTACCCTTTTTCCAAGAGCTACCATGAAGTCCATAGCAGCAGAAACAAATAACTGAAAAATAGCCTTCATCAATGGTGAAGAGAATGTTTGAGTTATCCAGTATAGCTGAAAAACTAGGATGTGCCTGTGTTGGGACTGTGCCAACCTTTGCTTGTGTGGGACCAGTTTGTAAAAGCAACATTGACAGTAGGTTGACAGAACTCCTCACCCTCTCCCTAGTGGGAGATGCACAGCAGGAGGTTCGGAAAAAAATTGTTTGGAAGAAACAATTCCAAATTGCTCAGGCTGCAATTGTACTTTTGACTGCAATTGTCATGCCACAGTGTATTTGGAAAACCACTGGTCTCAGTACAACTGCATGTGTGTGCTAAGGTTTAGTTGGTCAAAAGCCATTTGCTTGATGATGTACCTTAAACCAGAACTTTACTGACTTCCTCTCCTCAGCATTACTGCCTGTTTTTTGTACAGAAAAACTCAAGACAGTATGTACAAGAAGGAAAAGAAATAACCATAAGTGGTAAGAAGGAAAGGGAAATGCCTTGAATGAAGTAGGTTGGAAAGTTTAGTCAGAGCCAAGCTCCTGGTCAGACTTAGCCCACTATGTACCTTGTCCACAAAGTTTGCTTCAATAACATTCTGCTTTTCACTTTGAGCAGCTCCTTCAACAGTGACAAAGAAAATGTTGATCCCTGATTCTCTGGCCAGCCTGGAGGCCTCTTCCACTCGGTCGGTCGGCCACCCATCCACAATCACTACAACCACATTGGGTGCTCCACCTCGGTTTCCATTAGCATCCAAAAAGAAGTTTTTGTTAACAAATGAAAGTGCCTTCCCTGCAATAGAAGAGGAGTTGAGGAGGAGTTATGGATCTGGAAGTACTCTGTCTGATAATATCCCAGTGAAATAGTAGGCAGAGAGCTGACTCAGTGTTGGAGGCTGCAGAGAGCTGGGGAAAGCAGTTTCTGTGGCTGTGTAAGCAGGAGGGGACACCACTTCTACTTGGTGCCAGTGCTTCCTGAGCCCTCCTGCACTGAACCCCCTCCCTGTGCCCCAGAGAGGCTGGGGGTGATGAGCTGGGTTAGCAAGGATCCCCAAAGCATTAATGGGAACTGCCTGCAAGGAGACAGGTATGTCCTTCCACTTGTGATGGATTTGCAGTGCCTGGGATCAGCACACGCAGGTCATGGTCTCTCACCAGTCCTGCCCTAGCACTAAGCACTCTTTGATCACAGCCTCTGTATACAGTGAGGAGGTGTGGGCTTGCTATAGCCCAGGATCTGAAGCCCTCCCTGAGCTGAGGATGTGCAAGTAACCCCATCACCTACCAACATTGGAAAGTCCCCCTTTCTGTTGAATTTTCTCAATGGCATTCCTTAGATCCTTGGAGTTGGCATAAGTTTTTAAATTAAATTCTGTGGAAGGGTCATCACTAAAAGGAGAAATTAGAGCAAATGTCAGTGTTTTGCTTCACATACAACACAAAAGTCATAGGGCTGGTCTGTGTTACCTGGCTCCTGAGTGCAAGCTGGAGTGAGACCTTAAGCACGTATCAGCTTAGAGCTATGGCTGCCAGAGCATGCAGTCATGCCCTGTGGCAATGGGAATGTCTGGGAAACTCTTACCCATACTGAACAATGCCCATCAGAGGACCAGCACTGCCAATGCCAAGGGCTTGAGCCACGTTACCAAGGAATCGCTTCTGGAGCTGAAAGCGGCGTTTGCCAATGCTCCAGCTCCCATCCATTAAGAAGGACAAATCAACTTTGCAATCTGAGGAGAGATAAAGAAACATGGAAGATATTTTTAGTCCTTTCTGATTGCTGTGCTTCTTGCAAGCAGCGAAGGCCTAAAAAGTCTGCATCCAGTGCCTTGTCCTGCTGTGTAGATTCTACAAAAAAGCCTTTGACAAGGACAAGTCACAGCTGGCAGCTCAAGTCTGTCCTACTTGTTGGTAAACACAGTCCTTGGCATGACTTTATCCCATACAACGTCTCAGCTTGGCTGTGTGACTAAAGGGCAAGAATGTTTTCACAGGGATCAGTCTGGGAGCATTGCATTTTGGGGACTGGGGACATCAGCCCCACAGGAGCAAGCTGACGTATATCCTGTGCCCTCAGAGCCACATCTTGGGCTCAGCAAGCTTTATTTGCAGCCCAGAGGTGATGGGAGTTTGTAAAACTAGCCGTGGTGCTTTTATTTTGTATTTCTGGCCATCTGCAGAGGACAAACTAAGGGGATTTCCTTGGTGATACTTTTGTGGACTTAATTGATATAATAGACATAACAGGAACAGTTACTGTGTTAATGTTGCTCAGAAGGAAGCTCCTGAAATGTGTGGTGCCTGGGATATGCCTCAGGGGAAAAACACTGCGGGGGGTCTCTTCAAGGCGATTGCAATCCAGGATTACTGACAACAATCCTGGCAGCTCTGCACTTCTGAATGAGAATTGTTCATCAGTTTCCTTCTGGGCTGGAGCTAACATCAAGGATGATGATTTTGGGATGTTCAGACTGAGTGGGGGGTCTTCTTTTGCATGTTGTTATAGCCTTCTGCCCACGTGTGCAGCAGCAGCAGTGTGCTGTTGTGTGTTTCCTCTCCGGGCTGAAAGCAATGTTCTGTAAAAGGTATGCCAGCACCCAAACAAACTCTTCCCTTTAATTACATCATTACAAGAACTTCATCTTTGTGCTGCAAATGCTATCTTCATCACTTCCAGCCTGCCTTCACGTTTCTTCAAGTTAGTGGTGAAACATTCATCTTTGGTCTGCAACTGGGAGTGGGATCACAATTTGGCTTAACTAGAGCGCTAATTAACATTTTCCCCCTCCGGCATCTGGGTCATCCCCATCTCTTGATTTCCCTCTGATGATGCCTCCTACCAATCAGACTAGTTTTAACTACTGTGTTTTAATCATTAGGTAGCCCGAAGGCTACAAAGCACCAATTGTTCTTAGTGGTTTATGCAACTGCCTCCCATCTCATTACCTTCAATTTTTTTCTCCCATAGCTGTCTCTTTTTTCTAGTTCTAATAATGCTGAATTACAGGAGCGTGACTGAGAACCGTGTCCGCTCACAGCAGATCGTGAGGCAAGGTCGGGAACCCACAACAAATACCTCAATTAACAGCCAAGTTTTCCTGAATTTCTTGTCCTTCAAAGGGAACTAGTTCATGAGATCCATATGAGGAAAGTGGGCAGTTTGTTAGCCAGCAGGGTCTGGGGAGGCAAACATTTACATACACTTATAGACAGGCTTGGTTTCTGGGGAGGATTCCGATTCAGTGCTGGGACATGAGAGGGACGCTGCAAGAGCACAGACTAAAGGTGCTTCACAGGGAGGTGAGCACTTTCTGATTTGCAGGGAGGCAAGATCTGAATTAAGGCTTTTATGGTCCTAGAGTTATTAGTAGGATGAAATTTTTTGTTTCTGGTGTGACTTTTTTCAGTTTAACTGCTGGAAACACAGCTGTCCTTGCTGGCATCTCCACTGCACCGAGCTCTGTATTCCTGCAGTGCAACGGGGTCTGTAGGGCAGAGCCTTCCCTTTTTCTTCTTCTTTCCCTTATTTCTGTATCAGTTTCAGGTGTTTTTGACATATTTGATAGGGAAAAGATTTCTTCAAATATTAAGAGGAATTCCTGGGAATACATAATCATTTGGTTCAGTAGTGACTGTGAAGAGTTCAGGCAGTGTTCAGCTGCCCAAGGATGGGCAAGAGAGGACCCAGCCACTGTTGGAACGGTGAACCCTCTCTTTGGGGTGGCTTCTAATGAAGAGGTGGCAGGCAACCCCATCTCTCCACTAAGAACTTGCTTTCTCTTTCTTCTGCTACTTTGGGCCTCAACTAAAGATGGGTTAATGGGTAAATCTGCCTTTATAAAGGGCTGTAGAAGATTTTGGACCTGCATTTCCTCTCTGAACTTGAGGGGTCTTTGATGCTCCCTCTGCATCCTCTCTCTCCTGGCTGTGGCAGGCATTGGGTCCCTTTCTCAGGTGGTTTCCTTCCCTCCCACCCTCTGCTGTGGGAAGGGTGCCTACACACAGCATAGCCATGGGAGCCTGCCCTGGTCAGCAGGGCTTGTTCATCTGACCCTTGCTGCAGCACACTGTTCTCTACCACCAAAGTACCTGAGGGAAGAAGCTCTGCACACTGGGGAGCATGGAGTTGATACTGCCTGGGAAGAGGTGGTAGGGAGCAGCCACTATCTCACTGCCCAGGTAAGCTAAATTTTGGCTGTTATTTTTCTTCCCTGTAGAAGCAAAAAACAATTCTGTGTATAAAAGGGGTCAGCAAAGAGTGCTCGCTTTTTCTCTGCAAGGGAAAAATGTGCTCCTGAATTTTTTTAGGCATTCTCAAAAACTTACCTTTTGCTATTTAATTTTAATGCATTCTATCAATATGTAATTAATATTGTCATTTCATTATGAAGTTAATTCTGAAGTACATACTCTGATTCCCCTGGGAGGTGGATTCCAGTGGCTTTGGATTCAATTCTTCCTTTGAACTGAAGCCTAAAGAGAGAAAAGAAAGGACCTATCAGTGTGTGCTTGGTGCCTGACCTTGCTCTTTAAGGAAATGGGCAACAGGATCACTACAGAGACCCCCTGGCCTGAGGATTGATGTGGGAGGGAAACGGGGATGGGCATGACATCCTTGGAGCTTACCTTTTTCCATCTACATCACTCTTGGGCTAAAACCAGAGCAAAGACATTTCTAGGAACAACACCAAAATCTCTCCTAGCAGCAGCTTTTTGGTGCTGCTCTTTGGAAGTCAGTCCCCTAACTGCAAGGGCTTGGGAGCAGCATGCACAAGTAGTGAGCTCCTCAGGAGCAGAGGCTGGTGGCCATGGTGTGGGATGGTGGCTCCCAGCAGCCTTCCCTGAGAACCAGCACTGTGGTGCCTTCCAGTGAGCTGCACAACATCTGAAGTGGATGAGCAGCAGATTTATCATGTTGTTTTCTGTCTGGAGAGGAAGGCACAGGCAGCAACTTGTTCCAGCTCATCACTGCTGGGGAAGCAATGCAAACCACAGATCCTCCACAGGTGCCCCCAGAAGTCTGGGTTATTTTGCAAAGCACAAAAGAAAGAGGGTAACAGAGAACTACGGTTAAGCCAAGGGAAAGTCTCATGGGTTACTAGTGGATTCTAATGAGGTATTTGGGTGGTAGCAGCCTTGAAAATATGAGTTGATGTCCTTGTGAAAGGCACTAACTCACAGGACACCATCAGGCTGGGCTCAAAAGGTCTAAAAATGCTGAAATTCACTCATGACTTGAATGTCTGGCAAGACTTTCCTACAGGCCAGTATCTCCCATCCAAGCAAGGGCAAAGAGCTGTTTCTTTTCAGTACAGCATGACAAGATTAAGGGGATTTAGCTGGGATAATCCTCAGAAGAGACAGCAACGATCAGACAAGCTACAAACTGAACACTCACCAGGAAAGCTGTTGGTCTAAAGAACAGCAGAATAGCTTATGATTTTTGTAAACTGCATGTTAGATTTTTACAGAAAAGTAGGAGGGAGACTTCCTTTAATCTTCATCCCCAAGTAAGTTGAGGAAAGATTACTGACTTCATAGAAACAGTGAAAAAAGATAATTTTAGAAAGTGTGAGCTTTATAAAGGAAAGTATGAGGAATGACTAGGTACCACAGAATTTGTCTCTCCACAGCAGCCAGCCATGAGCAAGACAAGCATGAGAGCATCAGTGTATGCAAAGGGACATCAGGGAAGGTCACCACCTAAATATGATGGGAGATGTAACAGCCAAAGCTGGTTTCTGAAGGTATTAAGGACCAAGCCATAATAAGGCAGAGTACTGTGAAGAAAATGGAGGGAGGTACCTGCTCCATCCCCCTCTGTAACCACTCCTATTTCTATTCCAGTTAAGTCTAAAAATTCACCTCTCATAATTGTCAAATACAGCATTTGTGAGTCCTTCTAGCTGCATGCTGAATGCTGCACATTGTTTTGGGTCAGGGGCCATGTTTGTATTAAGTGTGAGTATTCAGGACCTGCTGTAAGGCTGACCTGATTGGTATCTGATCCCTGCTGGGAGGCTTCAGCACACAGCAGCATCCGTTCCGGACAGGGGTGCTTTGGCTTCTCAGTTTGAAATTCAACTGCCAGTGCAGAAGGTTTCTGCTGCAGGGATTAAACAGAGCTGCTAAGAGCAGCACCAAAGCAATAATTTCCCTCTGCTTTGCTTGTCCCCAGGCATGTTGCCTGTTGCTAGAGTTAGGATGTGGAGCTAGCTGGAGCGCTCTGCTTGGCCTTGTACGGGAGCCCATGGGGCTGCCTGTGAGTGAAGCAGGCAAAGGGCACAAAGAGTTCTTCTGCTTTGTTTAAGGCAAGGGTTGGTGATTGCTTTGTGTGTTTTGTTTGAGGACGTCCCTGCCAGGTTAGGAGAGCCCCAGGGCTGGTGTAGCTTTTTGTAACTATGTGGTGCCTGCAGTGCCTGCAGACCCACATGCAGCCTCCCTGTGCTCCTACCCAAACTTTGGACAGGATACTTTCTGGGCTGGGAATAGGAGCTCTCCACCCATCCTGCCACTGGCTCTTGTGACAGAAATGCCTCTCTCCCACAGTTAGTGGAGCTGGCCCTCTTGTGCCAGAGCAGGCAGGATGCATTCAAAAGCAGGCTGGCAAGCCCGGCTTCGACTGGCGTAATTCCTTATGGCTGGAGCTGTTGTCCAGCACACTGCTGGCTTGTGCCTCTTGTCTTGTGCACTGGGGATGAGCTCCCGGGCAAGGAACAGGGAAGAGTGCACCTGCTGTTATGTGTTTGCCCATGGGAGTCCATTTGGATGGGGGAACCACCAGCAGGGAGAGGCAGAGTGGTGGTGCTGGGGCAGCACTGCCTGAGGCTGGCTGCTTGTCCCTGACTGAGGAAAAATTATGTGGAACAGGGGTGACAGTTCCATCCAGTGATATCTGCTGCAGGAAACATTTCTGACCCCTCTCAGGCCTGAAGGTCTTTCTGACAGGGACCAAACCTGCCTTTGAAGGAAGGCAAATCTTGTGCAAGTTTATGGGTAGTTTATCTGATGTGGAATTTACAGGCAACACGACTTAGCAATGCACAGCCTCTCTTTGTTAACCACATGGATGACAATGATTGGGTTGTGGTTCTTTGTTTTATGGTTTTTTTTGTTTTTTTAAATCTGAAATAATCAGCCTACCTTTCTGGCTGTGTATATTTCAGTACAGGCTTTAATTACACAGGCCCATAATAGTTCCTCAGCAACAGACCAAAGCCACACTTCATCCTGCAGCCTGCACACTGCATACCTCACATGTGCCAGCTTGGTGTCCCATATGTGCAGTTCCCCCCCACACCTTGCCTTATTTGCAGAACAGAAAGTAGGTGGATTTAACACTGTAGTGAAGTTAGAAATTAACATGTGCCATCCATTTTAGCAACTAAATTGTATATGAAGGATAATTCATAGATAGCTATTTGCCTCTACATCCTGTAAAATTCATATTTATCTACATGCTGTAAAATTCAAATTCTTTTCCCAGGCATACAGCTGACATGAGCTTTGTCAGCATGGAAAACTCAAGTGAAGGCAGTGCAGCATTTTTCATTTTTATTTGTCAGTACAATTATCAGATATTGAAGGTTGTGGGTCAGCTGGTTGATTTGTGCTTAGTGGAACAATAAGGTCACCCACCAAATACTCTTCACCAGCTAATTGGGGAGGTGGTCAGTCTCTATGGGCCTCCCTATTCTGCCAGTCCAATTTAATGTTGGTATTGCCATGGGAATTTCAACTTGCTACATGGGCAGTCTACGCCATGCTAATTAAAGTTCCCTTCACTGATTGTCACAGCTGTCCATACTGATTAGACTTCCCATTCATTTAAGTAAGACAGCAATGATTACATCCATGCCAGAAACCACTCCTTTGAAGTGACAATCTGAATGCATCAGACTTTATCACACTAGTCTATGCTGGCACTTCAGTTGCTAAGAAACTATTAATACAACGTCCCTTCCCCCATGCCCAACCTTTCATTGCATTTAATGCAATCTGTCATTTTTTGCCTCAAAACATCCCTCTGCACCCTGGCCCTCGTGCTGTAGCTTTTCCTGAATAAGCACACTAATGGTTTTGAAGTAAGAAGAATATTCAAGGAAATGGCCTTTACAAAGGCCACCAGCACAGCCCTCTCCAGCATCAAAACCGGTGGTGAGAAAGACCTCTTATATTGGATGGTCAGGCCCCTTGTAAGAGGGGGAGTACAACGTCATGAATTGGTCTGTGTCTTGTGTAGTCTGCTTTTCACGTTCCCAGGGAAAGGGAGCTGTTAAATCTGCAGTTGGGAACTGCTCCTGATTAAGGGTTGCACAAGTCTTGGTCTTGTTGCTACTAGAGCCTGTTACAAATGTAGGGGGCTTTTTCCCTTCACCAGTGCTCATAAAAAAATATTCTTATCTCCATATTGTCAGTTTTTAAGGCTAAAATGTCAGAAAATTTCAATGATGTTCATTATTCTTTACGTGTGACATAAAATCTCCTTTTCTTATCTGAATGTCTTCCCTAAGTACATTGACATTAGGATAATCTGTCATGTTCTTCACTGATTGCAGCTCTAAACTGTGATCTCAGCTGTGGCATTCCTAAAATACCTTCTCATTTACAAATGGATTTCTGTAGCTAGAACCCCTTTTCTGTAGTGTAGCTGCCAGCTCTTTCCAGAGCTCATCTCCTCTGCTCCTGCTTTAAGCAGGAACTCAAGAGTGACGAAAGCTCAGAATAATGTGCTAAGATGTAAACAACATACCTTATTTGTAATTGTAAATGCTGAAATTACTTCTTAAAGTGATATTGTTATCACCAGTGGCTTGGGCCTGCTGAATAGATTAAGCTTTTCCCATATGTGATGGAAACCATTTATTCCCAGACTAGTTTCTAGATGCTTTAAATACTTACCTGTGTCAAAAAGGCTCAGTCCAGGTTTCCATGAGTCTATTTCCATTGCTTTCACACATGAAAGAGAAAAAAAAACCACCACAAACTGTTACTGATAATAGTGCAAATAGTAGAGATCAGAAAGTTCTGACTCAATTTAGAAAGGTCGGTTTAGACAATAACTTACATTAACAACTTAGGAGCTGAGGAAATCAGTAAACCTGTAAACTTTTATGTGCACATTTCAAGACATAATTAGGAGCCTTGTATCACTGCCCTTAGAGCACTAACCTTTTTTAAGGTTTTAAATACACCTCTCTAGATCTGCTTTGGTCTTGTTCCTCTAGATTGCATTGATATTGATGCACAGCCCTTTTTTTGGTTTAGGTTGTTTTTCACTGTAAATCTGCGAGTACCTCTGACCTACAGATTTCTCTATCCCCTCAGTCCACCCAAACAAAAAGATGTTGTCCAAAAATTGCTTGCCACCTGTTAGGCATGGATAGCTTCATCAAAATTGCTGCCCTTATAAATAAACCCCAAAATGTCTTTGGTTTTGGAACCTGCTGAGAGATGTTTCCAAAAAGTGTTGTTTTACTCTGGGTTGCAGCCATATGAATGCCCTTGCAGCTGACTAGGACAGAAACAGTTCTTAGGAATCCCAGGAAACAAAGATTTAAGTCCACTGAAGACCTGATAAACTGCACAGAGCTGGTGTATGCTTGACTAGAGCCAGTGGGTGAACTACAATGTAGGCTTCAACAAAGTTATGCATGGGCTTGCCAGTGTCCTACAGCCTAGAGAGAGCACTGACCTTGTCCTTAGGTTGCCTTTCCTGTGAGGAGCTATCAGCTTCTCTTTGGGAGGGAGACTTGTTGGATGGGACTAATGGCTGAATAAAGTGTGGGGTCTCCCTTTGGGTAGGAGGAACCCTGTCATGTTTCATGCTAGGGTGATTTCCCTCCTTATGCTACTTAAACACACTATGAAGGGTCAAAGGTCCTAAAAACTGAGGAAAGCAAAAGGCTAAGTCTATCATGATGCATGCAGAAGTTTTTTTTTTTTGTGATTTTGCTTAGGAGGAGGAATCAGGTAAAGGAAGAGCAGACCTGAGTAACGGGAAAAGAAACAAGAGGAAAACCAGGAGGAAAGTGAAATTACTATTTTTATAACTAGGGCAATTTGTTTTTCCTCACTTTAAGATGCCCATAAAAACAGGGGTTGATTTTTAAAATGCTCCAAGACTGGTCTCTTTAAAAAGGAGAAAGACACCACCACCAAAACTCTTCAGTGTAATTGCCTTGAAAAACATTCTTGAAAACTCATGACTAAGTGAGTATGGGACTTCAAGAGAGTGCATTGTGCATTGCACAAGTAACTGGTGTGCTGGGGAAGGTGCTTTCCCAGCACACCTTTATGGGAAACTGAGCTGATGAGAGGAAGTTCCTCAACATCACAGCCAAACGCTCAGAACTGACCGCTGCTGTTTGCACACACTTGGTGGGATGGAGAAGAACAAACTACCTTTCCAAGAATCTTCTTTTGATTGTTAGAAAAATTGGCTGCTTGAAAGCAGCACATCTGAGCTGCCACATTCTGGACTGAAAAAAGGATCAAGACTTACTAGGAATACAGCAAATATGTACTTGTATTTATTTTCCTTCTTGTTCTGTGATTAAGAAAACAGAATGATTTATGATGGGAAAGTTGTGCCTTTCATTCACCTTAGGGTGACCTTAAGGTGCCTTAAGCAATTAGGTGGGTTCAAACACTGACTTTGATTTAAGTAAGACCCAGCAATATTCTCCTGTTTTTCTGGCAAAGATTTGGCTAGCCTGAGAATTAGCCAGCACATCCTTTGGAATTGCCAAAATGTATAAAAAAGACAAACACAGATGGAAAGCAGAAAGAAGAGAAATAGATTGAAATGAGGAGTAGAAGAAAAATGAGGGAATGGAGTACATCTTAGGACAAGTGCATTTTAAATATGCTGCAACTAGGTCAACTACAAATTGTCGTTTTGACCAGGAGATTGCTGGGTGAGATTACTTGGCAGGAATTGTCTGGGAAGATAATAACATATCCTGCATAATCACATCCTCTAACCTCTGTGTGAATGACCACTTGGCTCTTCCCTGCTGCAATACTCCTCCTGTGATTCCCAGTTCTCACAAAGCCCTCAGGGCCCTGGGACACCTTCATCTGCTGGAGTCTCTCCCTCCCCAGCGGGTTTGGCTGCCTGTGCCGGGGGTCAGCACTAGCACAGCACAGCACTTGCCTCGGCCAGGGCTGTGGCTGAGAAGGGGCTGTGGGAAACATCGTGGGACAGCACAGAGGGGCACACCCTCGCCTCAGCTCCTTGCACCTGTGCCTTGCTGCCTTCCCTCAGACCTTGCCTCACTTGTCTGGTGCTCTGCCTCAGCTGGTCAGACCTGCCTTGTTGCTGGGGGCTTTCCTGGCAGCCTGGGCTTTCAGGTTATCCTGGGAACCACCACCAGGACCTGCTCTGCTGCTCTTGTTGGGGCTTTGTGGGCAGCCTCAGTGCAGCCCTGCGTGTCTTGCTGCAACCCGGCTCCCATCCCGCCCCCCACCCTGGGTGCTCCCAGACAAAATCTGTCTCTGGGAAATGCTGCTGCCCATCAAGGGAGAGTTAGTGTTTGGTATGTGTGCTGAGGGCTCTGGAGCCCCTGGGAAGCTCTTGTAGGCCTTGCAAAATGCCTGCTAGGGAAGGGCCAATTGCACTGCCAGGAAGAGAACAGTCCAGGTGAGGTTTCTACCCTCAGTTTGAAAAGCAACCTCTGCTTTCACTGTCAGCCTAGAGGCTTCTGGGAACCACAGGGACAAAAACCTAGCTCTACCAGAGACCTGATAGGCTGCACAGAGCCGGCTGTTTGTTTCCTGTTTTGACTAACAAATAAGAAAAATTGAAAACATTTTGTAGATGTTGATTCCCACGGCCTGAAACAACAGGTCGCCAGTGACCGAGCTTTCCTTTGCCTTTCCCTTTCAGGGAGCTGCTAGTTGGCGTTCAGTGCAAGAGTCTTGTCCTGGTCCTCCTCCAGGATGCAGGAAAACAATGTGCAGTACAAGGACTAATTCGTGGTTGCTAAAACTATTAAGGAGAGTGGAAAATCTGCTGCTAGTAGTCTTGCTCACCCAGGTGGACTGGAGAGCTGGCAGCCCTCTGGAAGGTGGCAAAAGGCTCTTGGCGCTGAGCACCTGCATGATCAGACAAAGAGGCAAGAGGTTAAATAACATAAAATGTTATAAAAGACTTCTATAAATTATTTTAGACTACTGCTTTGAGAGCAATTCCATGTTTAATCAATCTTGTTTACTTTCTTCCTTAAAAGTTACACCATTGTCATGCAATGGCTACTGTGATATCTTCTCTCACTGCGACCTGTTATGAACATGGTTAGGAGGGAAAATCAGTGTGTTACTGCCTGACGTGGTAGATGTAAGTGGTAAAAATATCTGTGGGGAGGAAATAGAGGAGGATTGTAGTGCCTTTACCTGCATTGTGTCGTAAAATATTCCTGACACTTGCAAAGGTGGAAGTGCCCCTGAATGCTTTGAAAATATCATATGGATTAGCACATGGAACTTAAACAAAAGGTTTTCTAGTATTTGAGCAGTACAAATCTACTGGTTGTTGTTAAATTAAAACATACCTGTATTCTGTCCTCTTCCTTGTGCAGCCTGAACCTGTCCTAAGTAGACATCAAAGTGGAAAAGTGTGATTTATTACACCATGTTTGGTTCAGTACTACTGCTACCTAGCTTTTTCACTGAGCCTCAGTTTATAGCTGGCAGAATTAATGGTTCATATATAGACTTGTCATTAATAGATTTTTCTTAGATGTTAACTATATATTTTGAGCCTGCTTAAAAAGGGATTGTCCTTCTTTGTCTGTCATACAGCTTAGCCTTGTTAATGTTCCCTTCAGTTATGGATATTACTTCTACAGGTCTCTGAGACCAGACACTACCCTTTCTGCAGAGATTAAGTGGATATGAGCAAGCAGGCAGACTGTAAGTAATGAGACAATGGAAAAATAATGTGGGAGAATTCATGTGTCTGACATGTGTCTGACATGTCTTCTACACAAAAAGGTTTCTTTTAAAGGTGATTGGGTTATTAAACTCCCATTGTTCAAAAATACTAAAGGCTCAAAGCATTTGCAGATGAAAACTGTGTCTTTAATCATGCCTTTCATTTCCTTAATTATTCTTAAGAAGCCTGTTAACAAACTTATCCTTTAACAAGCCTTTATTCATTAGTTTTCCCAGAAAGATTAATTTGAAAGCCTGGTGAAATCAGTGGGAATGTTCTAGCTGACTCTGTGAACACTGGACAGGGGCCCAGGAGGCTATTTTATCAATAAGATGTCATCAATGAGACCATTTTGAATGCCTGTCTCAGAAAACAGGAATTGCTGCTCCTTGGGAACTTGACATTGCAAAATTAGGTGACAGTAAGTAGCTTGTGTTTGACCCAAACTTGAACCTTCAGGGGCACTAGAAGCCCTTTGATGGGATTTCTAGGAGCTGTCCTGAGAGACCTTGTAAACTCCAGATGCCAGAGAGATCCTGTTTATGGAAGTTACGGGCTCATCTGCCAAAACTGGCAAGGCTTTTAAACTCTAAGCTTGTAAGGCTCCAGATGGACCACAGCTATACCAGGCTGAGTGTTCAGATTTCGGAGGCAAAATCTGTGTGTGCAGAAGTCAGTGCTGTATGGGATTGTGCAGGGCAGGCTTTACACACAGGAGATCAGTATGTGCCAAAGTGGCGGTAGAAAATTAACTCTGAGTCTCAGAGCTGCCCTTGTTTCATGTTTGCCATGACTGAGCCCCAATGTGTATCTAACACCCTTTACAAGGTCAGTAGAAACAGAGTACAAGAGGGTAAAAGAGAGATTACCTCTGTCTCCAAGTATTTTATGCCACATTTAAATTTTAATTTGATGTTAGCAATGTGGACTTCTGTCTATGCACCTTTTGACTGGGCTGGGCTGTGGGGCTGTTCCCTCTTGCTGTATCTCCCAAAGACACATTACCCCATCCCTGCAGGAAGCTGCTTTCTGCCATGCTTTTGTTGGCTGGGGCAAACATGGTAGTGGTAGAAGAGGAAGAGTCAGAATTTCACTTCCAGGTTGCAAGGCTTGTTCTTCCTTCAAATCTGAGTTGCCAGTGAGGCAGTGGTATGGGAATATATGTTCATTAAAACAGAGAGCTGTGAAAGCTGGGGGCCAAGCTGGGCATAGGACAAGTCTGTAACAAGCTGGGGATGGGCAGTCACTGAGCAAATTCCAAGAACTGGCTCAAAAATCAAAGTAATAGGGAAGAGAAACCTTGGTTGGGAGCAAGTGCTGTGGTGAGCAGGGAGGCATGGAGACAGGAAATGGTGGGAGCAGCAGTTTATATGCAGTTTAGAGTGAACCTTGTAAATATCAATAACTGATTTGAGAAAAAAAGGAGCTGCTCTGTGCACAAAACATGCCTGGCCATCTGCAACTTGGTCAGCACCCTTGATGGGCTTAAGTAGTCAGGGATAACTTGGGGAGAAAGGCAGCATCTAAAAATAAACACCAGCTGTTCTCCCTGGTGCCAGGGTGGAATGTTTGTCCAGCACTTCTGAAGACATGAGCTCTACTGTCTTCCTGATGGAGAAGAGTGTTCAATGCCCTTTCTATCACTTACACTGCTATGGTCTCATGTCTTTTCAATACTCTTCTATTAAGGCACAGCTGGGGATGAAGTCGGTGTAGTGTACCGTGGTAGGCAGTGCCCAGCTTAGAGTCCTGGTCTGAAAAGAAGTGCAACCATTGAACCCATCTGGACACAGAGGGCAGGAAAGCACCTCCTCACCTGAGGATACTCAGGCAATCACTTATGATTGCAGCGTTCACAGAAGCACTGGATTTAGTCCCAGCCCTCATCTAGGGTCCAAGCAGCTGTGCAAGACAGGCTTGAAGAGCTGGGATGGGAGAGAACAAGTGAGCTTGTGGCCCTTGGGAGTGTGCTGGGTTGATGCTGTTGGACAGAGGCAGAAGCCCTAGTAGGGCAGGAAGGAACTAGCTGCCATATGGCACACCAGTCACATTAGTGTTTTCTCATTCAGCAGTTTTGGCACATCAAGTCTTTGAAGGAGGGGTCTGGAAATGGAGCAGTCTCCATTATTTTATCTGTTATTCTGTCCTTAACAAACAGAAGATAAAGGGGAAAGAACAGCAAGAACTAGGGCAGCAGTTTTGCCCCTGCTTTCATGGTCTAATCTGCAAGTCCTGCTTTTCTGTTGCTCCTGTGAGCTCTTGCCAGGACCAGTGGCTGGAAATGGAAATGTTGTGTTCATTCTGACTGTGCTCTGTTTCATAGCTATTTACTTTTGAGGTGTCTTTTGCAGGCAAACTACCAATTCACAGTGAGAGGTAGATTTGTGAGTCTCTGAGAGCCAGGACAGACAGGAGAACATTTAATTCTGTTCAGTCAGCCAAACTCTGGTTAAGTTTATAATAATACTTAATTAATTAAGTTTATAATGATAATTAATTAAGTTTATAATAATGTTATCATAATAACAGCCAGAAACTCTGGTTATAATATGTCTGGAATAATAGCAGTGGATCCTAAAGACTCCTCAGACAGAGAAAACTGCTTTATGGCCATGACATCAAAACTGTATTTGTGCTTTATGTATTTTTTTTTTTTAATTTATACAGTTCTTCTCTTTCAGAATCAAGAAGAGTTCAGGAGAATTCAGGATGCCAGATATCAGGTACTGAGATGCTGGACATAGTCCTAGAAATTAAGTCTGTGAAATCAGAAGTGGGTCTCTGGTCTCTACCACTGCAGCTCACAATAACCTGTTCTTAGCTCTGATCACTTTAATATTTTGGGAATTAATTTATGCTTAGAACTTCAGTAAAGAAAATTATAAAGAAAGATGGATCCAAATTACAATTAAGTAACCACTGAATACACTGGAAAATTTGTTTTGGGGTTGTTGGTTGGTTTTTGGTTTTGCTTTGTTTTGTTTGTGTTTTTTTTTTCCTCAGGTTTTTGACTAAATTATTTGTCTTATTGAAGACAAATACAATCTTCCCACTGATTTCAGTGTTGCCAAAACTTTGCTCTCAACATGCATCTCTTCCTGACTGGGGAACCTGGAACAGGCTGAGGTTTATGGCTAATTGCTAGTAAAGACAGTGAAGGCCTCCTCTGTGCTCAGCCTGTGGGAATAGGAAATAGAAAAGAAAGCAACAAGCAGAACCAAGTTAACAGGCACATTAGGTACTGAATGATGCATATTTCCACAGAACTTAAACCCCTTTGAATCGTGTGGTCACCTCTGTAAATACTGCCATGGACATACCTACCTGCACATTTGTCTTGGTAAGATTAACCCCTCCAGCCCCTGCCTTTATTCTTCACTCACAACTGAATTTTACTCAATTATTCTTCCCCTCAAGATCTGAATTACCCAAAAGATCCTTGCCCTGCCATGTTCTTGGCTGTGAACTACTTGGCAGTGGGGATGACTGCAGTAATGTATGTGAGAGGAAAGCTGAGTTGAAAGCACTCAGAAATAGCTATGGAGCATGAAAGCTAATGATAGCCCAGCTCCCTTTTCACTCAAAAGCAATCATATCCCCATGCTCAGAACCTTTCAAACAGTTGAAAATATTCTCCTTTTCTTGACTGCACAGCTGAGCAATTGCACAGTGTATGGAAAAACACCTCTATATACTTGCATTGCAGGCTGTGGGCTGGACTGGGAGCAGCTCCTGGGCCGAGATGCAGAGCTCTGAGCAGCCACCATTCTGCTGTCAATAACAAGTGGCAAGCCAGGAATAACATCACATGTATGCCAGGCTCAGAACCACTGCCTGAGGTTTTTGAGAGAAGAGTGCTTTAACGTTTGTCAGCATTTCAGAGCTTTCCGCCCTAAGCTTAGATGGCTATGCAGATCTCTGCATCGTGTATTTTGCAACTCAATCAAGTCTCCCTTTGAAAGAGTATGACAGAAGGAAGCAATGGGAAAACATGATTCAAACAGCAAAATCTTTGTCTCAAGTTTTGTAAAACCCAGCTTTTGTCACAGCTGAAATGGGCAGATACTCACTAGAAAGGCTTCCTCAGAGCTGTGGGTGATCAGCATCTTTGACATTCAGGACAAAGCATCTGTTTTTCAGTTTAAATTCAGACTTGGATTCAGTCATTGAGTTTGCTGAGGCTTGAAAGGTTATTGAATCATTGCTGCCCTGAAATACACTGCTGCATGCCTTGTGGCATACTTACTTCACCATACTTACTTGCTGCTGCAGCTACCACAGATGCGTACGCTGGGTGGACGCTGCTAGAACCTAAAAATAAGAGATTTTAATTTTCAACTATTGAAGCAAAACCCTACAGTGCTAATGAATAATAATAAATTAAGAAGGGAAGATTAAGGAAAATCAGGTGTGCAAAAAAAGTATGAGAATTCCTTCACAGTGCTTTAATCTTTAAAATTCAAAAGTTCTTACAAAAAATAGATTACAACTTTAATCTATTGAAAGTTATCACAAAATGAATTCTAAAATGAGTTTTCACTTCTCTGTTGAACTCTCAATCTAGACATGAGAATCAAAGAATTATTTATTGGCTTCTATGCCTGAAAATCTTCACAGCATTTGGGGATGGAGGGCTTACTCTCACATGAATTGGTCTGCTCGACTTACATATTTTTTTCCACTCCTAGTATTTCTACATTGAATTACTGAACTCACGATCCTCTAAATCATGGTATATCCAGCTGTATGTCTTGTTCCTTAAATTTTAGGAAAGCTGTCAGTCCAGAGGAAAGCAATGCAAACATCCATGCTACTGACCCATATCTCTGACCCTGTGCAGTCCAGGTCTAGTCTTGGCTGGAGCTGCTGTGGTTCTGGCTGCTGCAGGTGTTGTGGTTAGCTGTGGCACTGTGGTGGAAGGATCTGTCATCGTGGTCGTCGGTGTGGGCGTTGTGGTGGCCATTTGTGTGGCTGGGGTCGGCACTGGAGTTGTCTGGTACTCTTTGTGGACTGTGTCCCCTGTAGGAATATTGACATATCACTGTGGCTGGATACGTGACGTGGATGGAAACATCAACAGAAGCACCCGATGTTTAAGGTAACCCAGAAACTGGCATTCTCTTCAGGATGCCTACAATCATCGTCATCTGTGGAGCCATCAGGCCTTCACTGTGGATGTGTAGTGCAGGTGCCTGTGTGAAGCTCTGCTCAACAGCCTGTTGCAGCATTAATGCTCCCCCTACATTTTTCTGCTTTGGCCAGGAACACTTATCAACCTGACAGATGTCTCAGACCTATGAAATGGTTCAACCAGCCACTTGCAGATTCTGTTTTGGCATCATCTTTTCTCAGTGTAATTAAGCACTTAGAAGGTCCATAATTTATATGGAAATCAGCTGGCATCTGGTAGTAAAGATGGCCAATCTGAGTCATAGACCAGAAAAAAATTGCAGCACTGAAATGTTTTTGACAGAAGGACAAATTTCAGATAAAGATGATTAGGGGGAGTGGGTTAGAGCCAGAGCAGGGAGCATCAGGGCTTTGGCTGAGGGGAGTGGGGGAGAGCACCACCTGGAAGGTGCCAATCTCTTCTAAGTTTGACTCATCTCACAGTTGCTACTACTTTTAAAATGTGTCATCTGTTGTGAGAACAGACAATTCTAGTTGCAAAATATACATCCTAAATATCCTTATAAAAAATTGTCAACATGCTTAGGTTCTTCCAAGTCATTTTCTCAAAAAAAGGTTCTTCACCACTATCTTTTCCATCTAGCTACAAAAAACTGCCCTAAAATATCTTCCCTGTAAACTTCAGTCTTGCTCCTTTCCTCCCTGCCGATAGCCCTGGGGATGGCCTGACACCCTGTCTGCACTGGAAGGGAATGGTGCACACTCTATTCACTGCTGCACAACACAAGCTTGTATTTTATTGCTATTTCTGGATGTTGTCCTTTTGGAAGGCATCACTGTGAAACTGTCTGGTGGATTAATTATCACCTAATGCCAGGCAGTGAAAAACTCAGATCTCAGACAGTTTTAATGGAATAATGCTGAAAGAGGGCTCAGAAGAAAAACAAAACAACTCAGCTGAAAAAATTCAGCATGAATGGCTCTTTTTGGGCTGAACAGTGCACTGTTCCATGAAACTGCTAAAAGAAAGAAAACAGAGGGCACAGTGAGTCTTCCCCTGTGATCCTGTGCTGTTGGAGTAGGGAACAGGCACACTGGCCAGCTTTATACCCCAGTCTGTGAGGAGCAAGGAAGCTGGAAGCTAACAGCATTAGCAGAAAACCTGAGGAAGCAGCATAGCAAGAGCAGAGAAAAGCTGTTGCCTTGGTGCATGTTGGCTGGGTTTCTTGTGGATCCTTTAACACAAGAGGAGGGCTCTCGAGGGGTAGCTGTTCCCAGTGCTCCTGCAGGCAGGGCACCCATCTCTTTCACCATCTTCAAAGTGTTTGCTAGGCACGTGCTCTGCATAGGAGATTGCCAAGAACCATAATGCAAGATTTTCAAGTTCACAAAACCTGACCTCATCCAAAGCACAAGCAGAAATTAAATTCTTTGGGTGCCCTCTTCTCTGAATTAGCAGAAGTCCTTCAAGCACCAAGGAAAGGGGCTGTGGGGAGGAGGTTGGATGTGGGAGGTAAAGCTGTCTGCAACCACTGTCAAAATGCTTCCTATAAGCACCTGCAGACAGATTAGGTGGGTTGGATGCTGTAAAGAACACCAAGATCCCCAACCCTTACCTTGATCCGATGCTTTTCCTGATGTGTTAAAGGTGTCTGCAATCTTCATACCTTTTAGGTCTTGCTCTGTTTTTTTAGGCTCTGAAGCAAAATTGAGCACATTAGAAAAGGCAGCTCTGTAAGAAAATAATTCCAAGTCTCCCATTTAGAGATTATCAGTCCCCAAAGGAAGGCATCCTGTCACATGCCATTAGGTAGGTCTGGCAATCCAATCAGAGCCTTATCACCTACTGAGAAAAAGAGACTAGGGAGTAGTCACCCCCTATCTTTCATGCCAAACTTAGGCATTTTTACAGCCTAAAAGCTCCTGCCAGTATCAATAAAATTTCTGAAGTGAGTGAGAAATATGGGGATTTGCCACCAATAAGCCAGTATTCATAAAATTTAATGCATCATATTTTTTTCCTCTGAGTAGTAGCATGTTCTGAGAACCAGGATCATGATGTGTGCATGTTGTTTGGGAAATACTTGATAATGTGCAATCTTGCAGTCACTAGTTCACGTTCAGATGTATTTCTTGCCTGACATTTTGAGATCATTATGGGGACAAATCCTGAATGCCTTAGATGGCTTAGAAAGAGAAGGGAGATTTTTTGGTTCTTTTTTTATTTCTAAGACTCAGAGACATCAACATACTTGGAATACTTATTACAGTTTATGTACTGCTACTCACAAAATAATCTGCTTCTGCTTTTTTATCTGACTGAGTACTGGAGGATTTTCTTCTTCCCTATTTTTTTTTAAAATTTTTTTTATTTTTTAAAATTCTTTAGCTCTTTCAGCAGCATCGAACTGTTTGAGAATTTACTGCAGTGTTAATGTTTTCCTAAAATTTTGTACTGTTTTTTCTAAACATCTTTTAATAGTTTTGAGCAGCTGTGAAGAGTTACGATTTTGGGAAGGCTTTTATTGCCGTGCCCAGCATTTGAGAAGCACTGTAACCACCAAGAGCATTTAAAGAAATGTCAGGCATTATGAATCTCTGGTATCTCTGGGATGAGGACTAAAATTGCATCTCTGACAGCTGATCAGGTGTGAAGCAGGATTTTTTTTGTTAATCTGACAGCAGTGAGGGTAATACTCAAAGGACTGCTTTTACCTCCTGCAGAAAATGGATTAAAGTATCAAAGTGAACAGTGTGGTCTCTGTAATTAAAATTAGAAGAAAAAGTAGCTTTTTTTAATATTAAAAAGTAAGTAGGAAATTATCTTTTACAAGATGCCCCTGGCAGCGTATTACAGAGATTTTTATCTTAAAGACAGGCTGTTTTTAACAGAGAACAGCTGAGATGGCTGAGTTGAGGTGGCAGATCTAAGGAGGACTGATAGGGCCAAGTAGGGCTTGAGGAACATAGATTGTGACCATTTCATTTCTTTGCTACCTGTGGGACAAGGCTGGGCAAAATCAGACAGTGATGTAATTTGATATAATAGCTGCTTGCTCCTCTGATAATCCTGGGCTTTCTCTGTATGAATGCTCTGTTTTGTTGTTAGGATCCTGGCATATTCATTCACACTATTTGATTCAAGAACAAAGTGAAGACTTGTGTCTTTGGTTGGCTGCAGGAGCAAGCTCCTGGTATTTTGTTTGTATGACAGAACCCTGACTGATGATGCTCCCCATTTCTACGCTGATTCTTATATTATGTGGCTTTTGGCACTGGTGGAAGAAACCATTGCTTTTGTGCTTACAGCCTGCTGAGCTCAGTCCTGGCTGTGATTGTCTCTGGTCTGTGTGAAATGTTCACACTGATATTTCAAGTATGGTTACACTTGGGAATAATGATCTGTGATTTAATGAACATTTCTCAGAAAAAAGTCAAGATTCCTAAGGTATTGCCCTCCCTTCTAGCAGTGCATAGTATTTGGGTCAAGTAATTTCTGCATATGTGGTCAAGAAATATACAAACTTGTATCTATTTGATTTTAAATGCAATGGTATTATAAATTAAAGGCAAGGAATTGAGCCACACATATTTGTTCTGAACAACTACAGCTTTGAGATTTAAATTTGCTTTTGTTCAAGTGAAAATATAAAAATGAAGGGCAATGAAGCTGGTGAAGGGGCTGGAGCACAAGTGTTATGAGGAGCAGCTGAGGGAATTGAGTTATTTTAGCCTGGAAAAAACCTCACAAGGCTAAGAGGGGAGTTAATGGCTCTCTAAAAGTACCTGAAAGGAGGTTGCAGTGAGTTCAGTCAAGGGAAAATGGCCTCAGGTGTCACCATGGGAGGATTAAACTGGATATTAGAAAGAATTTCTTCACAGAAAGTGTTGTCAAGCACTGGAGCAGGCTATCCAGGGAAGTGATGGAGTCACCATCCCTGGAGATATTTGAAAGACGCGTAGCTGTGGCACTTAAGGACACGGTTATGATGGACTTGGCAGTGCTGAGTTGTACTTGATGATCTTTTCTGACCATAATGAGTCTATGATTCTGTGAGAGAAGAGCTCTGTACTTTTCTTTCAAGGAACAAACAATAATGTACTGGAGGAGAATAGTTCTCCAAGTAACCTCTCTGTGGTCTCGGATGAATGCACCCAGTGCCAGGCATTTGAGTTCATGGAGAAGATAGAGCACATTTCCTTATACCACAGCTCAAAGTGTCTATGCTCAGGAAGGCTCAGGCCCAGCATTCAGCAAAAGGATAGTGTAAGGGAAGTGCACTGTAGTATGGGACATTAATTTTCTATTTGTTTGCATCCCCAAGGAAGAGTCTGAACCTTACACAGCTGTAACAGGGAGCAAAACCAAGTGTCATTTCAGTGACAGAGGTAATCCATGTGCACTTGAATGTCAGCTACCCACCAGTGTGAAACTTGACCAAAGACCTCTTTAAACAACTAAATTATTTAAACTGAGCTGAATCTTACAGAGTAGGATGCTGACTAAAATGATTATACAAAATAGTTCTTTATTGTATCATTCTTAGTTAAGATGCTGTGCATTACCATCTCTGTCACTTGTATTGTGTTACTATTTAATATGATACTCTCAGCACTGACTATCCCAGGAGATAACATGAGGAACATTAGGAGAAAGCTAACATGTATAACCTCAAATGCTTGCATATAACCAGTACAACATCATATTCAGTGACAGATCTAAAGCAAAAGGGAACGTGTGGAAACGGAAGTCTGTGAAACATGGTATGACCAAAAAATAGAAACTGTCTGAGAATATTTCCATATGCTTAAGATAAAAAAATACCATGAGTAATTTGGATGACATACTAATGGATGCATGAACTTCTGCCTCTGAATAGTTATGTCTTTGTATTATACAACTGAGAACCTATGACAGATAGTTGTAAATGGATGTAAGGGAAACTCCGTCATAAATACTTGCCTGATTTAACAGCTGTAGTTTTTGAAGAAGAATATTCAAGAGTTGATGGATATGTCACACCTTTTCTTGGCTTGCCCTCTACAAAAAATGTATAATAGAAGGCATCACAAAATATTCTAAATTTTCTTGATAAAATTCTCATCTAGGCAATTCAGAACAAAGGCATTCAGAATCAGATCCCTCTTCTTTATTTTCATGAAGATTTCTTTAATCTGATAGAAATTTGGTAGAATCTCAAAATCATACCACTAAAAATACTGGTGCCTAAATCCAGCATCATAAAAAAAAAGTTAGAAAGCATGAAAACCCCAAACTGGGGAGGATTTGCAGAGGTCAATTAGTTCATTCTTTTGCTCTCAAATGATATTAAGCACAAGGGGACCATTCCTGAAGGACATCTGTACAACTTTTAATTAAACCCACAGCTTCCCTAGGCAGCCTTCTCCAATGCCTGACTATGCAGTTGGCTTGGAAAGCATGTTTGATGTGGGATTCATTTCATCACGCACACAGCATTCTTCTCTGACCTCGCTTCTGCTAGATGCCATTTCTGGCAACAGTCTTTTGCAGTAATAACAGTGAGAGAAGGCTGTGCTCGTGTGTGGGAACATATGGTACCTATATTTAGATCTAAAATGAGAGTCCTGTCTTGAAACAATGAGGTACGTTTCCCAGTTAAGCTTTAAACCACAAATCTTTTTAGTGCCAGAGCAGACGCCATTTCTGTTGCTACGTGTGGCCATGCAGTTCCATCTCCTGGGACAGTTTTTATAATCACATAGCTCACTGAATGAAAAGTATTGCAGAGAAGCCCAGCAGAGAAGACTGCTTTGGCCTCTAGGATTGGTGAACGTAGGTCTTCTGACCCCGGTGACTGTCTCCACGAGACGCTGTGCTGTGTCATGTATCTGGACCACCTCTGGTGTGACCTACCTCCACCTCCTGCAAAACCTGAGTCATGATGACCTCTCCTCTGTTCCTTTGGGGAATTCTTTAGGGAGGTACATATGGCACTGCAGGAATGTCAGTTGTCATCCCAGGTGAATAATCCAGAGATCAACAGCACTGAACAGAATTAATTCCTACAGACTGAGCCACTCTTGGGAACTGGAGTTCCCATGGAGTTCAATGGTGATGCCTTACGATTTTAGGTTTTATATTTTTCAGATCCTGTATTGAATTAGTGTATAACTCAACTCTGTACAGAGTATTAGCAAGCTCCCTTCACATTTTGTCAGGTAAAACAATCCTTCCAGGCCTGAGAACACAAGGACACCTTCTGCCTCAGCCCCCGAAAAGAATAAACAAAAGTGAGCTGGGGGGAAGCAAACTGGGGGAATATGACTTCATTACCTGAAGGTCTAATTGGGTGATTAAACTCTGATATGCAAGTAGAACAAACTTATATCTGTCTGAGAAACTGGGGACTGTTGTCCATCTTGGGTGTAGCCTCTACAAGGCTTTTGCACTGCCCAAGGTGTATCTATTGAAGGCCTTTAATAAATACCTATTAGTCATTTTAACTCTGTCTAGCCTCTGTTCTAGGTAGCCACTCCAAGGTATCAATGGCACACAAAGAAAGGTCCATGCTAGAGGAACTCTGATGAGCAAGGATGTCTGTGGAGCTGGAGAATCCCTGTCTTTTGTCCCTTTTCATGTATCTATCTCCTTTGTTTTGCTCCTCTCTGAAATTTCAGATGTCATTACAAAACCATAGATAAAGAAGTTAGAGTTACTAACAAGGTGATGATGTAAAAAGCTATTCCATTTCTCATTTACAGTGAGATAAACTGCGGGTAGCTCCACCAAAGTTAACACAGATCCACCAGAGACCAGAGCTAGTAAGTTAGCATGTGTGGACAAACTGGAAAGAGCTTCCTTCTCGCCTTCTGGGCTTCTCTCATGGGAGCTGGTTAAAGTGAAGGGCAGCAGGTTTTTACATCCATGTGCCCCTGAACTAAAACTGGGATCAGGAGCCAAGAAGGACTAGGGAGATCTGCTAGTTTGGTAGAAAGACAGAAAAATTACAGGATCACAGATAGTTTCTAAGTGCTTTCCTTTATCCCTAACAGAGAGAACGAGTTGTCAGTATGAGCAGTTGATACACAGATGCAGCAATAGCATGATAATCTGATCTTAATTTGGAATATTTCTGTGCTAAACTGATTTCTAATGCAAACCTGAAGCCTGCTGCTGTGAAAATACACCAGCTAGGGTGGGGAGGCTGGATTCTGGGATTTTTTGAACAACAGCAATTTGCATCCCATATGCGACCAAGAGGTAGGCCTGAGGTCTGACCTGAATGTGGCCCTGCTCTCTGGGGCAATAATAATATGTCTTTTTCACTATTGGGAAAAAGTTACATCTAGGTTGGAGTTCACTTAACATACTTAAAAATGTGCATTCATGTGGGCTGAAAACATCGGCTTTGGACATTAAAATGCAAGCTATGGCATGGTGGCTGCTATAGTGCAGTGGCTGCTCACCCTCTCACACTTACTTGTGACTAGCAAACCCAGGAGTTCAGGACTATTTTCTTAACCCACTAGCTGCAAAACTCCCGCTAAACTGAATGGAGTCATTCAACCGAGTGCCAAGGCATTTCAGCGTTTGAAAGTGAGTACCAAGGTGTTTGCATACCTCCTGGTGTGCTGGCTGCTTTAATCTCAGGGGACAGACCTCCTTCTCCACTGCCCCTAAATCATGCCACTTTGCTCCCTGGGTCCCCCAAGGATTCCTCTTCTCTGCTTTTTTGTGTGGATGTTCATTCACATTTAAACATCACAGACTTGGTGATAATATCCTAATTAGGAATAAGGTGTTGGCACATTTCCAGGGTACAGTATTGCACATAGGTCTGGTCTGATGGAAGAGAATTCAGCTGGAGAATAGGGGACTCCGTTCTAAAGCTCTAAAGCTGTCCTGAAATTAATGCCTTAGGTGACTTTATATTTTTATTGGGGAATGCTTTATGCAGCTCTGGCTTTTTATGACTCATAATCATAAAAATTCCATCCCCAACTCCTCTCTTTCTGATGAGATCTGTATGCATGGAGCCTCAGGCTGCTAAGATGAGTAGCAGAGCCTTCCTGGGTTTTTCTGTGTTCTAAATTTCTCTAAAATTCTAAATTTCTCACATTTTCAGTAGGTATAGTGAAAGTTTCCTTCCTGTTCATATATAAAATATAATATGTATGTTGTATGGTATGTTAGATTTACATTGGAGCTAGTTTTTAAACTAAAACTTCTACTGTCATGAGTGAGAGCACTCAGTGTGCATAGATTTAAGTGCACAAGGGACAAATCTCATCGTGCCTACACATACCCAGGTTTCTCATCATCTCCTTTGATATGCTCTTGTGACTTTCTCTTGTATCTTCTTTTATAGTGTCTCATTAATTAAGAATAAAGACATTATCATAAATAAAAAATTCCTACAGTTTCATGGAAGAATTTCTGCAGTTTTATGGGATGATAACTGAGCAGCTGCTGAGATAAAAAAAAATAAAAAAAAAAAATTCCCACTTATGTGCCAGAATCACAATGTGCTGTTTGTTGGAGAAAAAAACCTGCAACAAGTTTGAGTAGCAGTTCAGCTATTCCAGGAAATTCCTACTCATCCAAAATAAATCCTTCTCATTATATGATACACCCATGGCAGACTGCTGTAAAAAATACATGAATGCAAAATTAAGATGACAGTATGTTTTGGTCAGTTTCTGAGACCTCCTTTGCTGTCTACAGATTTTCAGATGGAAAGAACATTATTTTTAGTAGGTGTTCAGCTGCTTGAGCTGTTGATTTTTCCAGGAATGATGTAGTTAACTAGCATCAATCTTAAACCTCCAAAAAAAAGCATCAATCTTAAACCTCCAGAAGTACAGACCAGCAAGAACTAGCCCAATGTATCAAGAAGTTATATTTAGAATTTTTATGTTTTTTAAGCCAGGTCAGCAAACCCTCTTTCATACAGGTAGAATGAGTGCAAGTAGGTTTAAGATAATCTGAATCTGATGTAAAGGGCATCTAGTTTGCAAAAAAATTTAAAAATCTGTGAATTTAGTTGGTAAATGCAAGTGAGTTCCTATATATAGTATGGGGAGGAAAAAAGGAATGAGCATTAAATTAAGATGGATTTACCTTCAATGATTAGATATCAAAACTTTTTGGCTAACAGAGGTAGAGAGAGTCCCTGACATACTTGGCATGTACCAGTCAAATCGTTTAATAAAGGGTTTGGACGCATACGGTAGGGCTGTATGGGGTTTGACACAAGTCTGAAGTCACTTCAGGAGGTACAAATTCAGGTGCAAGGTGAGGATGTTTCAAATGGCCAAAAGGCCTTTCAGCAGCACTGCTTACCAGGGTGGAGAGCAGTAGATTTTATGGAATTAAGGTGCCTTCCAAGGCTCAGTCCAGAGCAGCCCCATCACCTCCTGCAGTGGGCTCAGACCTGCCCTGGGCTGAGCCGGGCACACCTCTGGCAGGGCGCGTGTCTCTTCACAGGCTTCATGGGAAGCCCAGAACAAGAAGCATCTCACGTGCACTGTGGTGATTAAGCAGGAGTGTAAAGTGAGAGGCTGCTTCCCCCTCCTGCCATTGCTGCTCAGCACTCAGAGGTGGGGAGCAGGTGGGTGTCCCACCCCAGAGCGGTACCTGACACGAGGAAGGACTCCCTCCAGCGTGGCAGTGACAGGGACCGGACACCATTGGAGAAGCTCCCGCGGTAACCAGAGTGCCCGGCGACTTTCTGGACAAGGATCTTCCCACCTGTGTTGTCAATTATACCGCTGCAAGGAGGAAACACGGTGTCTGAGGGGAGAAATTCCACAAAATCCTTCAAAACTGCTCTACAATGCGAGAGGTATGAAGCGATTCCTTTTACCTTTAAACCGGGGGTGGTGGTGGGGCTGTGATGTTACTACTAGGCCTGCTGCTAAGAAATATTTGTGCTCCTTCCACATAGAGAAGAGCAGTTTGTTGCAAAGTGCTGTCAGGATCTGTTTGCTCTTCCCACTGATCTACTGGTCCTCTGTTTAAGCTTGACCTAGTTGCACACAAGAAAAAGCTACCGCCTTCGTTAAAATTCCTGCAATGACTTGAATGACTGAAGATACAGGCAGAAGCTCTCAAAGGAGTTTTCAGGCCAACCATGTGACAGAATGTGCTTTCTTTGAGTTTCAGTATGTGTTTTCTGCAAAAGCCCAGGCGTGTTTCTGACCTCAGCCTGGAGTAAACTGGACACAACATTGCTGGAAGCTGTAGAAAACCTGGCAGTCTCCAGGTCTGGTGCACATCCAGTGGTGTTTAACACGCGCTGTAACATGTACCTCAAGACAAACAGAAAACCTTCAGTGTATGCAGCCTGCTCTGGCATCACTAGGATGGCAGGTCAACTGGGAAGCAACTGCAGCTGTAGGGGAGTTGTAGGGCTGGCAGTAACACTGGCAGGCTGGAAAATAAGTGCTGGGCAGCAAACGGGGTTGAAGAGTATGTTAGAGGCATGTTTTGCTCTGGTAATTGTGGGGAGCTGCTGTTAAAATAAATGTATGGAGAAGAAATTCACTGTCTGTGGAGCTGCAACATGTAAGCTAAGAAAGCCAAAACCAGCTGGCAAATGAGAAAATCTGAAACCCTCACTGTAACAATACAGCCAGCCAGGTTGTGCGGGCAGATTGCAGATGCTACCAGTATTTTGGTTCCCTTCCCTTTGGGACTAATTCTGCACGCCGAGACAATTTCTCGTTGTGCACTGGTGTCTGAGGGAGGAATTTGCCGCTGGAAAGCCATCTCGGCAGCGAGGGCTGAGCGGGCAGAGCTGCAGCCAGGAGGTGGCAGCCCTGTGTGCACACAGCCACCCCAGCCTGAGCGCAGAGCAGCGCAGAGACGAGGGCTCAGCTCCCAAAGCCTCACCTATCCCGCTTTAGCCGAGATCCCAGGTCTTTCACAGAACCCGAAGGGCAGCAGTAGCTCAAATAACTCCAAAATAAGTCGTCAATCAGGCTTTGTAACTTCTTGCTGCGTTTTGAGCTGGGTACATCCTGCCTGTGCATCCTGCCTCCAACTGCAGTGTGTTTTCATCACACGGTTATTCTCCATTAGAATTTTATGCACATTTTTGCATGGCTAATAAAACTCTGAAAAACTTTTGCTGCAAAATTTATGTTGCTCATTTCCTTGTGCAGTGTCCTTTTATGTGGCAGGAAAGCACATTACTCAGTCTTTGATGTCAAGGACAGTTAAATTCAAACCCAGAGAATCAAACCAATCCCAGAAGTATGAGAACTGTATGTATTCATCACTGGTGCTATGCCTATTTTTTCTGAAGATTTATTAGTAGTAGCAGCTCCATCTCTATCTTCCACTTGAATAATAATAGTACAATAGTAATTTGTTATGCATGAATGAGAGATCTGGAAATCTCAAGACATTTCTCCAAAGGTTGAGAAACTTCTTCAAACACTACTAATTTCTATAAGAATACAGGATTGACAGCACTCTGCAAGAATGGATCCATTGCGTCACACATGGACTTTCTCTCAGGTTTTCTACAGCAGCCTGCAATCAAACCTACAAGGAAGTGGGAACTGTAAAGAAATTGAAAAGTTGGAAGCGCCCTGCACTAAAATAACAGTTTTGTCTGAGTCATTTCAGCTCACTCACCTGTGAATTGCAGCATTGCAGACACTGGAAAAAGAAGCATAAATGTCTGTGCCATAAACACGGTATTTTACATCTTGACATCCAGGAGGGCATTTTGCAATGAATTCTGGATTAATTATCTTCCCCGCCTTGACATCACAATCAATCTGGGGTACATCTGTGAGTGCAAAATCTTGGTAAAGTCAGATTGAATGCCTTCATGGCTGAGTGATCTTGTCATGAAACAGTGAGTAACCGAGTGACAGGAAAGCCCTCCTCCTAAGCCTTCACATCAATGGTTTTGGGATACAAGACATCTCTGTCTTCTGCATCTACAACATAACACATAATAACCCCTATACCAAGGGATGTGGCAGTCACTGGGGATGGAATAGGGAAGCCTGCAGATATTCCTGACCTTCAGTGTTTGCTTCTCTGAAGGAAATATCTGTTATGACACTTGGCTGGAGAGAGAAAGAAGTGTAGTCACCCAGCCTGTGGTTAACACGTGGGAAGGAGGGGGTGGGGATGCTTCCCAAGCCTCCCGCTGTGCTCATGTAGCTCTGTGCCATCTATAATGTCAGGCTGAAGTCACAGCCCATTATCTTGCCCTTAATTTTAAAAACTTTTTGCTGGGTACGGTTTACTTTGAACAAGGGGTTTAAGTGTGCGTTTACAGCCTCGCAGCAGGCTTGTTTGTCAGCTGCATGAGCAAAATAATCTGTGGACAGAAATGCTCCTGCAGCAGAATAGCTTAAACATCCTAGTGCACAGAGATGCACCAATTGTCTGACGCTAATCAGCTACATATGCTTTGTGTTACAGCTGGTCCATTTCACGTAGCTATGTCTCTCTCTCCTTCCATGAAAACCTTAGTGCTTCCTTTGATCCTTGACCTAATGACCTATGAAGATACATTTTAGTAGTGAATGACAAAACTTTCCCTTTCTAAGTGTTAAGTGACACACACTTTACTTAGTGATTTATTTTCGATAAAGGAATCTTTCAGCTAACATATAACGCCATTGACTTGAGACAATTACGAAGAATAACCAGAATCTCACTTTGCACCTTTCTTAGAAATTGGAGATGTCTGCTGTAAAACAGCCAAAAATTCTGCTGAGACCACTTACATAACTTAGCCTTTTTTGTCTTCTTTGTGGCTTCCTTGGCTGTGTATGTACATGTAAGAAACACACCTAGAACAAATAAACATTGTATCAGGAAAAAGGTGGACTATCAACATCAGTAACTACAAGCTCCTCTGCATTACATTTCTCAAATTTGAATCAACAGGTTGGAAACCTGAAATAGGAATATTCTCAGCCACATCTAGGTTTCTACTTGGTGGTTTAACCTTGCAGTCAAGATTGCATCTACTGTGGGGAAGTTCTTTGAAAAGATCAGTTCAGTTCACATGTCATCTGTGGAGCTCACTATCTAAAGATGCCAGGGAGTCCATGTGGTCCAGAAAACCACAAAAATATTTCCACTGGCAGTGGGAACGCTTTGTAATTGGTGTGATAGAGATGTTAATGGAATAGTGTGCTCTGTGCATAAAGTAACTGGGAAGTTCAGGTGTGAAAGATTCTTCTTGGTAACCCTTTGGGAAGGTTATCCTGTAATTTTGTGTTGTGACATTTCACTCACTGGTGGCAGCAGGTGTGGGATACTGGGCAGCATTACAGACCATATGAGGTTCTGGGGTGGCATGTCCCAGCAAAGCCACTTGTTTTCTTTGGTAAGCAGGACTATGATTTGAAAAGTGTAAAAGAGACATGTGCAGTTACATTAAGAGATGCATCCCAATATATGCATGTAGCTTACCATGTAGTGTTTACTTGCTAAGAGATGACATACAAAATCTCTTTATTCTCAGTGCTTATTTTATAATCACTGTATTATGGGTAATTGATAACTTCATTACAAATACCTTGACTTTCCTCTTCAACTTCCCCTTCCCGGAGCTTCCAAAGGGAATTGAAACTCTCTTGTGATGTGTCAGCTGATCCTCTTATCATTTGTTAACTTTATCTTACTAGAATATGCAACAGAAATAATTTCTTTCTTTTATTCTTTTCTGTCCCGAGACTGATTATAAAGAGTTTGTAGACTCTTTGCAATCACAATTACAATACTCTCACACCTAATACTTGCTCAGTGTCAGTGTCTGAAGTGACAATGCATAGATGAAGTATTTGGCCCTCTTGTCACCAGTGCAGTTGTGTAACCATGGCAAAATTGTAGTTAGATAAACAAAAAAGGAATGCGTGAGTGGAAAATAAGTGCAATATCTCAACTACTTGGAATGGTACAGTATAATCTAATGTGGGGAAAGTAATCTGGTAATTTATGCAGAAGAACTACATAGATTGCTGCGAATTTGAACTAAGAACAACTGTCCTGACAGACTTGAGAATAGCAGCTAGGGAGAATATTGTCTGGGAATGTCACAACCAGAGTGTTCATGTAAGATGAATCGCAAGCTCTGGAGTTTCTACGTGTTCCCAGAAAGTGAGATCCTGTCTGACTGCCAATGGAAAGAAAGTAGGACACATTTATAACTTTTTGGTACCATCTTGTTTATGGAAAGAACAAGAACAAGGAGAATTGAAACAGCTGTTTTTTCTTTAGAGGGAATCTTTACATTACAGACATTTTTCAGGCCCACCAGATATGGACTGCGTATAATTGGTCATGTACTTGGAGATCTCTGCAAGTAATTAATATTTTTTTCTATGCCAAAGTCAAGAAGTCTGTGTAGCCCATTTCTGAAAAGCTGTGCTGAGGCTTACATCTGCTACTGAGGGCTTCATCAGCCGTGGAGTCCAAAGGGAAGAGAATTAGTCAGTAGCCATTGGGCATCCAGGATGGGAGAGTGCAAACCCATAAACTACTAATTGCAGCACATCAGCTGTACTTACCAAAGAAGGTTGCAATGACTGTGGTCTTCATGGTGGGTAAAGCAAAATCTGGATGTGTTGCTAAGGAACACTGAAAAGGAAAAGAAGAGTACATCAGGCTGCATTTGGAGGTATTGCAGACAACACTGGAATGGTGGGGGAAGAGGCACTGTGCCCTCTTCTTTAACCTTTTACAGTTCTCACATGCTGCATCCTCTTATTACACTTTTTAGAACAACTGAGATCCCCAGAGGAGGTGGTGTTTGGTCTACCACACCCCCATGGACTAATTTTTTTACTTCTCTACAAAATTTGCCTTTTGCTCCAGGACACCAAGATTTCATTCATATACTTATTTCAGAAGCCAGTGTCAGGAGAGGGCATGATGGGCATGGAGATGCTCTGACATCTATTCATTTTCAAATTCAAATCTGTTCACTGCTCTTCTAAGAAATATAGAAATCATATTTTCTATATTTAAGAAATATATATTTATATATATATGAAATATAGAATAATATTTTCTGCACATCAAAGCACACCAAGTAATCTCACACAGATATGGGGAACATAAACAAATCCATCTACTCCGGAAAGATGTTGCATAAAGTATTTTGCAATTAACTAATCTTTTGTAAGCCAAATTACTGGTTTCTTTCCTTTTCTGAAAACACGTATGTGTGTACATATATGAGATTAAGACGACTCTGTCAGAATATCTGGAAAACATTTTTTCCTGGGTCTGCATAAATTGTTCATGGTCTCTTCCATCCCTGAAGCTCTTGGCCAGGTTACAAGAATTCAAACTTATCAGAGATAACCCCTCTCAGCCCCTCCTGAGTATCACCTGCTGCTCTTGCTATTATTTCACAATTGTTGACGAAATCCTGTGTTGGGGGCTCATAGTTAATCATAGTAATTAAAGTACTACATAATGTTTGACAAATAGAGTAAAAAGTCTGAAAGGGAGAATATATTTGTTGTACAGGGAGAATCTCGAGGATTGAAATAAACTTGATCTTCAGAGAAACTTTTTACATGCTTACAAGTGGAAAGATTTGTAATAAACAAAAAATGAGCTTGCTATCCGGAAATAAAATACTAATGTTAAACAAGAATGTTAAAGCTTTGTATGACCAGGGAATGCAAGATATCTGCCTCCTGGAAAAATGGCAGATTTCATCCAATTTTACATAGCAACTCACATACTCAGAAGCAGGGCTTTGGTCACCCCAGAAAGAAATTTAGAGAACAAGGCAGATACAGGAGAGGAGAGGAAAAAATAAAAAAAAATCTACATTCTGTCTTCATATAAACGTTTCCATGTTTTTACTTTAATTGCTCTTCTTTTTTAAGCAATCCACATGCTATGAGTGAGGATGACTAAAATAGTATGCTAGTCTAAACTGAGTTCAGCCAGTTCTGGGTCTATATAATTCATAGCTCTTTTTACATAGAGCAGATCCACCTCTGATTTTTGCTTCTGTGCTAGAGTTGGAGAATTTCAAATGCCAGAACATACTAACAGTGTCACTTCCTAATAGCACAATGTCTTTCCTTGGTGATCTTCCTGAAAAAGTTTTCCTGCTAGGCTTCTAAAGCTGAAAGTGGCAGAAGTTCCTCAGAGGCCACTGAATTGAATCCAGGGGTATGGAAAGTGGCTCAACACAGTCACTGTGTCTTTCTGAAAAATGATGGGCAGTGCAGTGGGGGTGACCTCAGGCTGTACAAGCCATTTCAGCAAGTGCAGTTAAGTGGTGATATTCTGCCCTCATGGTTACTTTCTATTAAAAAAGTTGCCGTCTTTTGGAACAAAAATCCGCTTTAAGCATTTACTGCAGTGTATTTCCACTGTGAAGCTGTTAAAAGAAATAGCACCAAGATATAGAAGAGTGCTCAGAGAAACTTAGCTCAGATGCTTTTCTCCTCCCTTTTATGTTTCAACCCATTAACACATCAGAGGTATCAAACAATTGCTCCCCTTCAATGAATTCTCACTTTAGGTCAATAGCAGAAAAAGAAGAGGCAGAATAAAAGCTGAGATTCATTTGCAGAACTACCATGCACCATTAAAGATTGTACTGGCTTAGACTTTGCAAGAGATATCTTAATGTGAGCATTCCCAAAATTTGCAGTGAATAAATTCAGCATTGGCATTTTAATTTAAAGTCAAAGAGATTTGTGTGAAATTTCCTGACAGTATTTGGTGCTGAGATGTTTTCATCACCAGTTTAATTAGACTCAAAGAGGTCTAAGATTGTAAAGCATCCATGGAAAATTTGGCTTCATGGGTGGGCTGCTGTGTGGAGTCCAATACTGCCTAAATTTTCCTGTCTTACAGAACGTGCAACCACCTGTATCACCAGGGCTGATCACAAGACTTCCCATTGCTTCCTGAAGGCCCTGCTGTCCCCCAGCCCTGCTGTCCCCAGGGCATGGCCAGCTTCCCCAGGAGCCATCCCAGTCCCCTTGGGTGGCAGTACCCTAGGCTTGCCTGCAGTTGCATTTCCTACCTAGTCGGCTGGGGGCATTGCTCTTCAAGGCAACAGAAAGTGGGCTTTTGCTCCTAAGTTATCACAAATCCATGCAGAAAGAAGCCAATAAATCTAAAAGGATTTAAGATTTAAAGCCTGTCAGGGGTTCAGCAGAGTTCAGCACACCCCTTAGCCTGCAATAACAGATGTTTATCAGTAAGAAAGATACTGGAAACATTTAGACAAGTCTGTTAGATTTACTTAACAGCTTTGTTATCACAGCTAAACAGAAAAGCGTCTCACTGTGGACTCTCTATCTTCAGTGGCGCTGTTTATACTAGTATCCTCATGGAAATAAATTATAACAGTAAATAAACTTGGTTTGGCACTATATTAATTTCCACTTTAGGCACTGGCATGTCAGGAGAAATGGAGAGACATCCTGTGACACAGTTCTGGTGACAGTACTCCAAGGGGTGGTCCTGGCCTTCAGACCTTGGGCTGTCACATGGGGAAATGCACAGGAGGATTTACATTGCTGACTATTAAGTGTCAGGCATAGAAGCTCCAGGCTTTCTGTTGTGGGAAGTCTGTGTGCATTCATTGTGTCTGGGGCCTAGGGTGTCACCTGATTTAAGCTGTGTGAGATCTCCTATACTGTGCACCAGCAGGGCATCTGCTCCTTCGGACTGGTAATGGGAGCAACAGCTTGGAAAAAAGCAGTGGTTTGGTTTTTTTTTGTTTGTTTCTCTGGGAAGGGAAAGCAGGGCTCCAATCCATGCTTACAACATACTTTTTAATCTGTGTAGATCCACTGAGCTGTTTGGGGATGTTTTACCTGTAGATAAGAATGATACTTTGTTATAAAATGCAAATCTGTACCTCCTTTTTTCCTTTACAAAATGAATAGATCCCATTAAAACAAACTGAAAAGTTTCTACTTGGTATTAGTCTGAAGCATGACTTTTGCTGAGATTTCTCCTAATCAGATTTCTATTAAGGCGGTATTTACAGTCCCAGTCAGAACTGGAAAATAGTGACTACTCACTATTAAATCTCCTAAACTGTATGCTGGATCTCTGTTTATCAGAGTACATTTTCCCATCTGAATCTTTCAGACTGTCGTAACAGAAGTTACCTTTATGCCAGAAAAGCTACTAAGTATATGCATTACATTGGCATGTGCTTCAATTCCTGTTACGTACAAATGTAGTAAGACTTATCTCCTTCAGTGTTTCCCAGTGCTGCTGATATTTTACCTTTTAAAATCAAAGTCCTACTTGAAAGAATGAAGATTATTTTTTTCTGACCACAAACACTTGAAAACTCTTGAATGCTAGTGAAGAGACAGAATTAGCAAACTATTCTTTCTGTGTATAAAGTAAGATTTTTATGCTGACCTTTTATTAGCAACTTGACTTTTATAAAGATTTGAGAGCTGCTACATACTACAAACAAACAGATGGTTTAAATGCACATAAACTGTCACTGTATGGCAAACTGTAACATTTTCTGGAGGAAGTACAGATTTTAAGTCCTTGATTTTTGGTGTCAGGCAGTGCTGTCCATTCCACGTGCAAGCTGAAATTCTTTGCTAGTGCCATGTGCATTGCCTCTGCAGGAGTAAGCAGTTTATCTCCTGTAATCTCCTGTGCCACAGAAATTAATTTATATACTCTCTTTGTACCACAATAGTGTGTGCCATTGTTCCCCTTTTCAAGGGGTTCTAATGTCTCAGCAACACTGGCACCATAAAAAAAAACAGAAGTGGACTTTGTTTGAAAGCTATTTGAGCAAGTAGCATGAAGTTAACAGCATGATCTCTAAGCACTGTGGGTTGAATTAAATATGTGCCCTTTATGGAAAAATCAAGTGGGCTTGGTGTAGGTGTGAGTAAACCGGATAAACAAGAGCTGATCATCTTCTTCTAGAGGAAAACATTTTAGGTTTCTTTTTTTTCTAAATTGATTTTATTGTTATAATTGTTTAACCCTTTATTTGTTTAATGCTCATATTCTGTGCCCATGTTATTGTACCTTGCTAGGCAGTGTTGAAAGAACTGTTGGTTTTGGAGCACACTAGGTAATATGACTAGCCCTTGCCATGTGTGATTTAGTTTCACCCCCTTGCCAGAGGGATGAAGACATGTACCCTCAGTGCACTGTGTTGTTCTGAAAGTCTGTACATAAGAAAAGCATCTAAGTGGCTGTCTTTTTAAAGTCTGGAGGTGCTGACTTTTTCTGAGACAGAAAGTTTGAATTGATAGGTATGGTCCATTTCAGAGGCTTGGACTTGACCTGTGGGTATACCAGACCAGGTCACAAAATGTAAGATCCAAGGCACTATTTTGTGAGGTGAGCTTGTCTGCATGGGAGGATAGACTTTACTCTTTGTGTGGTCTGAAATAGAATATATTCATCCAATAATTAAAAATTATCATAGACTTCATATCATATCATATCTTCTGCTGCTATAAAAAATATGAGTGAATGCTCACCTGTTTTCTTTCATATATGAAAGAACCCAAAAATGCTTCCTGGAAGCAGAGTTGAGCTTCAGAGCACTGTAGTACACTCTACTTAATTACCCAGTGTCTCAGAAAGCTGACAGGGAAACC